CACTGGAATTATTTCATGTCCACACTGCACGGACCTCTATATTTGAAACTTTGACCATGTTTGATTTGAGCATCCTTAAAATGGAAAAAATGGGAGAGAACACAAAGAAAATTTGCGGATATAATATTAACAGAAACAGTTCTTTCTAAAAAGAAAAAGAAAGAAAGAAAAAAGAAGACCTTCATAGAGTTAGAGTACTATTTATCTTTATTTGTATTTTTTTTTAATTTTATCTATTTTTTTTTTAAAAATATGTGGCTTTTAGAAGCAGTAAATAAAACATAGTTCACTGTAGTGAAAGTATATACTGAATATCTGAATATAGTAGATAAGAAAAAGCACAATAAGTGACTTTTTAGTGTATGATAATTTTTTTAACTTAATTTAATTGATTAGAATTCTTTATGCTCAGTGTTTGCTCTTCTTTGTGTGAATGTGTTGAATTGAAATAATGAACACAATACCAAGGCGAAACGGCTTAAGGCCTCTTAAACATTACACTATATTTAACCAGTTTATTATTATTTATTCTATTTAAACAAGTTAAACTGAAATAATTGTTGTAATCAGATAATGTGGAGGCTACGATTCATAGTCTTAAACAGGTCACACCAAGGTTAACCACATTTTAATTGTAAAAAGGAAAATAACAACTCTGTGTGCGTGTGTGTGTGTGTGTGTGTGTGTGTGTGTGTAATGAAGGGAGATGTGTACATTTAGCCTCATTAAGACCAACAGGAAGCTCACAGTCCAAACAACATGACTCAGTAACATTAAGAGTTTTCATGTCAGAAATGACTCTTCACAGATTTAATGTCTCATTTTAATGAAGCCCACAAGAAAAGTAAACTTTGGTAAGCAGACATGTTGAGTACAGTTTGTGACTGAAATGCCAAATGTTAAACTTTCTGCCATTAAAGAGATCATAACACTTTGAGGGGATGATCAAAGAAACTGCAACATCCAGGTCATCAAAGCTCTGGAAAACTAATAGGGAGAAACATATTGCCAAAATGTGCTTGCGTCCATTAAAGATGTGCGTGCTAAGTGCAGCAGTATGTTCTCCTGAAGGTTTCAAAAACTATAGAGACATTAGGTAGATCGATTGAAGAGCAGGGAACTTCCTACTCAAACTTCCTGGAAGATTGATTATTTATTTAAACAAGTGCGTTTCAAAGCTGACTAAATCCCTGTCTCAAACAGACGCGAATCTGCGATGAGCTGTCGAGGAAAAATTGACCCCATTAAAAGCTCACAGCTCTGTTCAAAAAAACAATTTGAATGCCTGGCTCATTTTGGATTTGTGTTTTGTTTTATTTCCGTTTTACACGGCAGCCAAACGTTCCTGAGGGCTGGACTCACAAGCATGAGCGAACACAACAAATCCCAGAAACACATACTGGACTTTTAACTGCTTAATGTGCTCGCACTCAAGCCAGCTAAAACTTGTCAACGTCAGCAGCTGATAATGTAATTTTTCGTGATAAGTGTAGTCAGGTGCAGATCTTCCCCTGCTGTTAATTCAATAAAAAGGGCCTAAGTGTTTAGCATTTTAACACATGTAAGCTAAAGGGAGGTGCATGTCCGCGAATGGGAAATTTACTGTGTGGTATTTGCATTACATGATGGCCACTCCAAGCTGTTATGAGCCTGGACAGCTTACATTAGTCTGTGTGAATCACTTTAGGCCGCATAAATGGTTGTAACATGCGTGCTTCTTTCTCTAATCCAAAGTGAGTGAACAATATACTGGCCTTCTTCAGATTTATTAAAAAATGAATTATGAAGCAGCAGGTCTGTATGCATGGCCTGTCAACACCATAACAAAAAGAACAAAAAAAACCCCGTGTAACAGGAGGGCACAGGGGAAACCTCCTGTTGCTTTTAATATCCTTACTTTAAAAAAAGAGAGAGAAGAAGAGGATTTCAGAAAACACTTGCCTATGTTGGGTCATCAGTTTGTTCCTGATTTTTGTGTTTTTCTTTATATAAATTGATTGATATATGTTACAAAAGTCGGTAAGGAATCGGGTGTCCAGTGCTGGAAAGTTGAAAAAATACAAATTGTCAGCAAAAAAGGAAAAAAAAAGTTGCATATTCACCTGAACACTCTTGTCTCTTTAAGCTATGGCCTCGTTTTTCATACAGAAGTTTCAGGTTAAAGTCATCCAGCTTCAATCTGTCATTCTGCAGTATTGTTTTCGTTACATTTCATTGTTTTCAGCAAGAGATAACATTTTTCAGTGACTCTCGGAGCGTGAACTAACTGGGATTTTAAAACCTGACATTTACAAAATAAGCATCGTGGGCACAGTTACTTGGTCACGCCCCGGGTCGCTCTCTATCAGAAACTGTTTCTGTGACATCTCTGCTTCATGTGAGGCAGTCACAGGGAGAAGTGACCCAAATGGACCAGAATACACTCACAGCCTTGAACTCCTGATGACTTGCGACCACTTCATGACACTTCCTGCCGCGCCACCACGTCACGATTTGGCCCCCGCGCCCTCCCCCCCTCCGCTCAAGAGTGCCTGTCCCCTGGTCATACATCGCCCACTCAGCACAGATGGGATAACCACAGCATTTACCATTTTCCTGATTGCCTGTGGCAGAGGTGATTTAGAGCAGCTAATAAAAGCCACTCCACTCGTGCATTAGTTAGCCGCCTCATTGAACTGAATGACACAGGATATGTTTGTTGGATTTCGCTAGGAAAAAAAGAAAATAAGTTTCTTTACTTTTACCAGTCTGTGGCTTACCACTGAGGTTTTCAGTACAAGATTACAATGGGCTTTCCTGAGTGCTGTGCAGACACTGATAAGTTAGCATGCTCCAAGAAGGCGCATCAGTTCTAGTCAAGTACAAGCAGGGCCACTTCCTCTATTCCTAACTTATAGAAAATGACATGAAGAACACCCACCTCTCCAAGGAAAATTATTATTGACCATGATGAAACTTCACTTCCAAGTGCTATTCATTTAACATCATGCTTCATTAATAAATGAACCCACCAGTATCAGCGTTCATCAGGAGGATTACCAGCATGTTTCATACATATGAAAGATTCATGCTCTCATCAGATGCTCATGTTGCAAGCACTATGAAAAGCATGCACTGCTACAGCATGCAATGTTATTGAATGACTGCATAATATTAGCGTTTGTTTATTCCACACAAAAAAGAGCGGGAAAACAGCTGAATATTGAACAGCATATACACGAGAGTATATCCATCAAACAGGTTTGTTACCAAAGGCAAAGCCATTAAATAAGCAAGCTGGGTGAAATACGATAACGTTGTATAACAGATCATATCAAGTCTATCAAGTCAGCTAATATTAAGCCCTTTAGTTTTACAGCTAGCTGCTTAGAAGTGAGCTGAACCTACCTGAGGAGGTGCCTAGAGCTTGTGACGCCTTAACTTCCATTGCATTTGCTTCCACCTTCAGTATAATTCCCCCATCAATAAGTTTCTGAATGATAACTTGCACAAACTGCAAACGCTGTGCAGCCTCATGGACCTGTCAGTCCCACAGTGCAGCACTTAAAGCTGTGAAATAGCCCAGACGCTGCAGCAGGGATGAATGGGTGGAGTTTGAGGTTTTGTCAGACAAAGAGGGGTACAACATTAAACTCTCAGACTATTGACTGTAGCATATTGAGTGCTTTATGGAACATTACTCATTGCACACACAAAGGTTTCTCGGGAGATTGTGTAAGTTAGAGTGTAAGTGTATCAAGAGAACATACTGTGAATCTATCCACTCCTTTAAGGGTAATTTTTTTTAAATACAAACTTTTTAGCGTTCTGTTGTGTTAAATTCATTTTTGCTTCAAAACAAGATTTATAGGGAATAATGAACCCTAAACATTTGTTTACATTTTTGTTGATCTGATCATTTCAACATTTACTGTGCAGGTTATAGGGGGTGAATTCTGCTTGCAAGGTAGTTATGTGTACACCACGAGAGTCATTGTGGAAATGAGAATAAAAGGATATAATATCCTGCTATTATAATATCTTATTACAGGGGAGTATATCCAGCAAAAACACTTGTTACCAGAGAGAATTACAATCTGTGGTAAAAATTCTCAAAAGAGCAAAGATGATGTTAAAGGCATAACTACCAGAGGGAAACAAGAGCTTGTAATACCTTTTTTGAGTGTAAGTCAGTAAACCTTTATCAGATTTCACTGGACTCCACGCGGATGCCCAGATGACCATTGGATTTCACAAGTTAGATCACTAATTTACATAATTTCCCCAGGGATTAATAAAGTATTCTGATTCTGACTGACAATAACTACCAAAATAAGTGACCAAAGACATTTTAAAATTTCTGCTAAGTAATGAGGCTTGTTTGTAGATCTGAAAGAACTTTTGTCTCATATTTTGTTATTATTTTGATTATGCGCATCCACATTTACATCAGGCTGGAGTGGAAGATCAGCACAGATGTCATATACATAAAGGGGATGAGCAAGATCTAATTTCCTGAGATTCTTCAAAGTGTGCAGCAAAATCATGGATATTTTCTGATTAGGAAGGTTGGGTCTATGATTGACTTCAAACTGGACACTTTTGAAGTCGTGGTGGAGAGTAGGTCTGTTATCCATCAGGGAAAATCCCAACTGCCCTCGGCACCCCTTACTGGACAAGCAGCAGAGCACTTTCTGTAACATATTCAACTCCACTCCCACCTGCTATCACTTGAATAAAACAGTTTATATGTCTAGCAGAAATATACCTGCTAGTTAATATTAGTTATTAGGTTTATTATTATTATTATTATTATTATTATTATTATTATTATTATTATTATTATTGTCATTGTAACAAAAAAATATAAAGTATTTCTCATTCATTCAATTCGTTCCACTCTTCGCCACAAGGTGGTGCTGCTGAGCTATCGACAAGCGAAGTATCCGCCCCTTGCCAGCTAGTTATGTTCAAAGTCCCGCTACACCTAATTGTTATTCAGAGAGTAAAAACTAAATAAGACTACAACTACTTACTGTACTGTCAACTGTTAAAAACAGTAGTAAATTTTTTGTGTTTTTCATGGTGGTATTGCAGTATGGTTACTCTTGTTTTTATTGGAGGCGAACAGTAAAAGAGTGTTTACTAACCTATCGCTAGTGAACATACTTTGGCTGACTCGTCAGCCAGTTGATCTCGGACCAAAACAAACTCAAAGGAGGAAAAAAAGCATTTGATTGAGGCGTCTGACTTCCACACTGCTGTTTTCCAAATGTCGCGGCGATTAAATAAGAGGTGCGAGGAGGAGTAATTTATCATGCGGCTTGGAGACGCAGCTGGGCTTGTAGTGGTAGCCGCTAGCTAGAATGCTAATGTTCCGTAGCTAACGGTAACGTTATGCCAGATGACCCAACAGCAGTAGTAGTAGTTGGGAATAGAAGCTGCTGCTGCTGCTCCTATTTTATTTGCCTGAACTCTCACCCAGCATTATAAACGGTCCTGCCACCTAGTTAGTTTGGTAGTTAGGCACCACGAAAACAGAGAAAACTAATTTTCAGCGTTGCCTTTTACTGCCTAAATTAAAAACTGAAGTATGGGGATGTGCTTACCGTGCCTTGGTGGAGCAGCGGACGACGTTGTGGTCACTCCAGATCCTGTAAGTTAAGTTACTATGATTGTTATTACACAGCTTTAACAATAATTCGGTCAGCTGTATACTGGTAATGAGTACGAATTGATATAGGAATTAGCTGAGCCCACGTGAATTTGATTAATCACCATTAGGACACCAATGGGCCCTGGTAGGTAACGCAGAGGAGGCGTTGACTGTATGTGAACAACGGCATGTTAAGTATGCTTCAGGCCCAACATGCTTAGCTCAGAGAGGACAGCTTTAGCTCACAAGTTTCCCATGTTTCCAACAGGAGACCAGGAGACAACAGTTAGCTGAAGCCGCCGAAAAGAGACAAAAAGAGGTAAGTTACGACTAGTCGCGTCTTATTGTCCATTTTCCAGTACTAAAACATTGTTACACGTGTGTAGTACATTTGCCAGGTTATTGGGTGCAGCTCGCTATAGCAGAGGTGTGTTATTCAGTACAAGTGCAAACATGAACTCTGCCATTACTCATTGAAATCAGCAGTGAAGTTGAATTGTGTTGTTTTTTGTTTTAGCTTGTTTATAACATTACTAGAAGTGCATTTTTGGTAGTAGAATTAAAATATGAATAAAAGTCACCATCCTTAAAGTGAGCTCTGTAAAAAAACAAACAAACAAAAGTTTCACCAAAAACTGAACTTCACAAAATGTATTATTTATTTATGTATTGGACTGTGTCTTTTTGGCGCCACATACGTACCCAGTAATCTGGTAACTGAGTGCAGTATTAAAGGTGGAGTTAGTTTACAGTGTGGTGAGTATTTTTTATCGCACAGAAAACCCACTTGAAAAAGAGACGCGCTAGAGTTCTCTCAAGGTAAGTAGACCTGGACCAGGGTTAAAACTCTACCTGGCCAGGTGAGTCTTCTGGATTGGCTTAACTACCACAACCTTGTGCTCCCAGTCACCGTTTTCATCCTTAAATCTTCCAGCACCGTGACAGTTCACACTCTGATGCAGGTCAAAGCACTGGTCTCTAACAACCCACAGTCGTCTCAGTTGAGCAGCACAGCACTGCTGAAAGTAGCTGCTTCAACCTCCAGCTGAACTGCCTTATTTGGCAGTTGAATGCCCCCTCGCTGGTTGTGGTTGAACAAGCCTTGTGTGCACCTGAAAGGTTGTGGTAAAATAATTAATTAAAACCCACATGCATGCTTTTGAGACTGTTTGTATATGTTGAAAATATAAACAAAACAAAACACTTATTATCAAGCTGTTGCATCTTGGCACTTGATTATACCCCACACCTTTTTCCAGACGGCGTACAGGGGTGTTAAAAATCCAGAAGCGGTCGAAAGGAAAAGGAAAAAACAGGAAGAAGCTGAGAAACAAGCGATGAGCACCTCTGTGTCAGGTGGTGGTGGCGGGCTGAAGGTCAGTTGTGTGTTTATCCTCAAACTTAGTGGGTTAAAAACAGAACTATCTGTTGCAGATAGTGGTGGGACATAAACTCATGACTCAGAGGGAATCAAAGCAATCAAAAAAACGCTTTGGTTATACTGAGAGATACAGGATTGCACATGCTCGATACCTCTCCTTGACCCCTCTCCTCAGTAAAGATATTTCAACAAAATGAGACATCCTGCCTTCAGAGCCTCATTTAAAAGTTTGTCTTGAGTGCATAATAAATCTTATAGATGAGCTACACCTGTATTTTATCATCTCTCTTTTTTTTCATCTTTAATAATTGAAACATATGATTAAAAAAAGAACAAGTTGCCCTTTTTAATCAACACTGAGGTATGAAAACACAAGGTCAGAAAAGTTACGAACACAAAGTGGCACAACCAAGCCAACATAACACCAGGACCAACACACTATCAAACACAGTTCTGAATATTTGCATATATTTTTGTTCTTTAGACTGTGTGCTTATGCACTTTATCTTCAAGTAACATCATAAAAAATATTCACACATGGTGCCCAACTTCAATAAGGGGTAAAAGGAATGGGACACTAGGCTGCAGAATGTTTTTATTCATTTTTATTGTTTTAACATAAGTAAATTCATGCACAAAGTGTCTGAAACACAGCAGGGAGTTATTTGGAATTTGAAATATGAACTTTGGATTGACATGGAGTTTGTGTCAATCCAAACCACAGCAGTGAAGAAGATAACAGGGGTGTTTATGTTCCGGCCTGTCTGCAGAAACATACAGCACCAGCATAGTTTCCATTGTTTTACTTCAAGTAATAAAGCAGAAAAGCAAAAGCTGAACACAGCTGCACAGCATGTAGTTACCCATAAGATGGGTTAGAAATCATTAAACACCACTTTGAGCATGTCTGTGTTTGTGTTCTTTTTTCTGGCCTGAACTTTACCAATCAGCGTTTTTAAAAAAAATTAAACTAGAAAAATCTTTAACATTTGCAAAAGAACTTTTATAATAGTTTTGAAGCTAATTAAAATGTGACTGTATTTTGAAGTGATTGGTTATTCCAGAGGATAATTTCATATCACAATGGCAATAATTTCTATTTATCATTGTGAATGATAAACATTGTTGTAATTTGTTGTGTTGTGTTTTTCTTTTTTCTTGTAGTGGCAGGTGGGCTGAAAATCCTGATGGTAAAGTCTGAACTCGGATGTCTAAATATATAACGTATTGCTGCAAGATGACTTGAAAGATGTTGGAACTGCTGTCCGTTTTTACTTTTTCTTTTCTTTTTCTTTTTTTTTCTTTTCTTTGCTTGTTATGTATCTGTGTCATGTTATGAGTCTACAGCTGTCAGGTGCAAAACAGTTAAGTTATTCCACACAAAACACAGCAGAATTTGCCAAGTTATACAAACCAGTTTGTACCTTTGGACGAGTCAGGGGTGACACAGTAATGTGCAAGCAAACACAATTATGTGAGATTTGTGTGAAGATTGATTAGATACAGTGTTGCAGTACAGTGACTCCCATTAGGTAACATGGAAGAACATCGCTATAATATGCAGTTGTACATTAAGACAGAGCTTCCCTCACTGTGTTTGGTTTTCCTAGTCAGAGTATTCCACGTATATCCATTAACAGTTGGATATACCTCTTTAGCATGAACTCACTTTGTGATGGGCTCTGTTATTTGGCAACTGAAAGACTAGTGCAAACAGTGCAAACCTGACTATCTTTACCCAACTCATAATGGGCTCCTTGCTCATCACTGAGGCGAGTCAGTGACACAGACCACATTGGGGTCATTATTTATTTTGTGTGTTTGTATTGGGGGAAAAATGGGTGTTTTGTGCTGAGAATGTAGGTGGACTCTATGTGGCGCATCTAATGCGGTGATTCCTTGGTAAGCACAAACTTTATACTTGACAAAAACTGCAGCAGCTAATAAATACTGCTGAATAATGTAGAGCACAGGTGTCGAACTCAAGGCCGGTGTCCTGCAGGTTTAAGATGTGTCCTTGATCCAACACAGCTGATTTAAATGGCTAAATGACCTCCTCAACATGTCTTGAAGTTCTCCAGAGGCCTGGTAATGAACTAATCATTTGATTCAGGTGTGTTGACCCAGGGTGAGATCTAAAACCTGCAGGACACCGGCCCTCGAGGCCTGGAGTTTGACACCCCTGATGTAGAGCAACTGTAGAGCACTCTCCAGCCAGTAAGAATGCCCTAGTTCTTCGCACTAGTCTTTGCCCTACTTTAATAGAGCCCTTTTTTTAATTACTTTGTTTATCATGCACAGTTTTTGAGTTTGTTGTAGTGTATGCAAACACGGATGGAATGGCTGCTTAATCTAAATGAGAAATGTTTGTGAATTGCCATACTACAACTGAAGCTTTTGTTACACACTTATTTGCACACCATCAGCCAATATGCTCACTTTTGTTCGAAGGTTCAAGTCCACTACAATGGAAACGAGACTGAAGGAATATGAAGGAGAAAACAGATGTTTTGAGATATTTTCTTTGACTTACTTGGCTGAGTGCGTTTCTTACAGCCTTCCTTAAATGCTTCTGGTGCTCTTGTCATTTTGTAGAAGAAATCTAGCCAATGTTATTTGCTACAATAAATCACATTTCTGCTACCCTTGTGTCAATTTCATGTGTAGAATCACAGTTTTAGAGGTAATACCTAGTGGTAGAGTTTCACTGTTAATATAGTTGACAAAAATATAAGCAAATATTAATATTTACAGTTTCTGGCATGTCTAGAGTCGATCAGGTGTAGCCAGAGATGTGCAAAAGTCCTGAGCCACCCCCAATTTCTTTATATTTAAGGATTTTTTTAATGTTGTCTGTGCCTCTTTTTTTAAAAATGTATCTTTGCTTGTGTTGCTAAATAGACTGATAGTATCTCCTACTTTGTCACAGGAATGTTGTTTGTGGCTCAAAATGACTTGATATCATTCATGAGGGATGCATTTGACATCGTTTCACATATTATTGGTCAACAAATCATTTATAGCAGTTTAAATACGGATAATCACTTTTTGGCAAATAACGGAAATCACTTTTGGTCAGATGATTACTTTTTGACACACCACGGGTGTCTAATATCCTTTTGATAAATAGTCTGGAGACAACAGGATTAAAACTGGTTATACAAATAAAGAAATAACCTGTTTTCTAAGTGTAATTACAACTGTGTACTACTTTGTAATCAATCCGGGTCCGTTTGGACGCTTAAAAATATATAACTTGTGTTATAGATGTTGCAGTGTATCCTGCACTCCTGGTTTGATCGCTCTTGAAAAAGACTATTTAAATGAATTTTTTATTTAAACAGATGATCACGTTTTGCCACAACACCGGCTCGCGTGGCTTCGAATATCACATACGTCATCTACCCAAACCGCACGCGCTTCACAATCTCGCTGCCTTACGGCGTAACTAATGACGTAGACTGACACAGAAGTAAAATTCAAGTGTGAGCAGAGCAGTGAAAGCCGGGTTGGTTAGCTCATCGACACACGATGCGCTGAGTGGAAGCGTCCCTTCGATAGCTCAGTTGGTAGAGCGGAGGACTGTAGACGTCACAGCTGAAATCCTTAGGTCGCTGGTTCAAATCCGGCTCGAAGGAGACATATTTTCACAATTTTCTTTTTGTCTACCTACAGTAAAATATCCTGAACGTTACAGGTCAGTGTCGTATTGAAACATTAGCTCTGTTTCCCAGCGTATACTGAAATAAGTATGTTCAGACATAAGCAAAGTCGTCTGCCCTGCTCATTCACAAACCAACATCATCGTTGCTGTGCTTTTATTATGAATATTATCCTGGACTCTTCTTCAGCTTCTGTGCAGACCTCATTATCAAATATGTGCAAACAGCAACGTGTTTCTGTATCTCTCCAGACTTAACAGTAACACTTTTTTTTTTTTTTTTTTTTAAAGGCATGCCCTTCAGAAACCTCTTATTAACGCCAGATTTTAATGCAGTATTAACCGGAGATGAATTACTGAGGGGACTGAAAATCACAGTGTTCTTGGCTGACACTCACAAACTGCCTGTAACATCAGTTCCAGTTCCTACCGGACACGATGTCCACAAAATAAAAGAAACAGTATTAATGAACAAAACCAAAACCTCGTCTCATTAGAACAGCATAAACTCTGTTTTTACCTGATGGACTCGATTTCCACTTATTTTTCCACATTTCACCGAATCTGTGCACATGCTCGGGTCTTTTGGACATAACTGTAGGATGATCGGGTGATCAGATAAACACGTACATACATTTTGGTTTTATACATATGGGGGGAAAAAAAACCCAAAGCAGCCTACTCTTAAAGTGATAAGCAAACTAGTATTTCATTAACAATTTAAAATACAACGTGCACATATCAAAATGAGAAGTTTCAACTTTTCAGCATTTATTGGAAATTTACAACTAAAATCAGGCTTGAAAGTTGCTTTGCACAACCAGTGAATATAATACCAAACCGACATATTTATTCTCCAGGAATAAAAACAAATTAATATAACATGAGTTATTATGCAGTGATTGATAATTCTCCATTGTAAGAACCCCCCAAAAGTAATCAATAATAATCGTATTTAAATCACTGCACCACCTGTAGGGGTCAGTAATACGACACAGTGAAGAACGTGAGACCTTAAATGAGTAAATCTATTTATAAATCACAAGCTAGTGAAACTGATTCGAACATGTGATTGTCGGATGAAGACATTATTACACACGGGATCTATTCTAGTAATGCATAATACAATCAAAATGCTAATATATAAATGTACTGCATAGAACAGTTATGCAAAATGTAAACAATATGAGCATTGCTTTATTTTGTTAGCCTACTAAGAAATGCACAAAGAAAAAGCTATAACATTTTGTGAATAAATTTAGGTTTTATGAGAGTTTTTACAAGAATTTAAATGTATAAAGTAAAGCATTTAAACTTCAGTGGGTTTAAATAATTCTTGTAATGTGGGAGATAAAATCCCATTTGAGCCACAGCCCGATAGGGTCTGTGTATTATTAAAAATTTAGATAAGAAGATCAGTTTGATGGGAAATGAAAAAAAAAAAAAAGGGAAAACAACACTAGCACAGACAAATCAATAGAATCCACATCAAGGTACAAAGGAATACTGGCTTCATAAAATTGCCAACATCTCCAGCACCCATTTCATTTCATGTAAAAAAACAACTTGTGTTTTTACCTTGTACAAATACAGATATTTATATGAGGAGCTAAAAGATGAAAGTGTTCTACCTACCATATGTGATATTGCTTCAGATGCAATAAAAACAGGAAAATCTCAAATCTCAAGAAAATCTACACCTTCCCTTGTACTAATTATGAAACCAATTATACTGTGATGATAATAATGAGCATGTTTTTCAAAGCTGTTTGCTGTTATGTAAAAGTAAATAACACCCAGAGGCCTACTAACATGTGTCAAGGCCCAATCAAATGAAAACACCCAAGAATGATCTTTAACCAACAAAACAAAATCATCACTATGACAAAAATGTGCTTTCTATGAATGGTGTTGCACTACAGCTTTAACATTTACTTCATGAGAACAGGGATATGTTGCATAGCTACACCCCCTTCTCTACACAGTAAAAAACAGCACGAAGTCAATCTGTCCTTTTATTAATGGAATTTTTTTCAGTCTCGTGTCTTCACTTTTTGCTGCGGTAGTGCGCTGCCACCACCAGGTAGCTGTCAGGGCTGAGGTCCTTGATATTAGGGGACTTGCTGCTGATAGGGGATATCTTGCCCTCCACCCTGGAAATCTGGAGCATGCGGCATGGGTCATGTTTCAGCAGGTAACTCTCAAAGGTCTCCCAGCCTCCACCGACTCGCACCATCACGTGCTTATTGTGCAGCATCTGCGGAAGAAAATAGGATTACGTTGTGATGCTGGTGTGTCAGAAGGGGTGCTTTAATAGATGTGGGTGAACCCTTCTATAGGACAAATGTCATTACCCTGATTGAAGCTTTGGATTTTAGCTGAACGAACATGTAAGCGCGGCTTTGATGTCAAAGCTTGTTGATTGATGTGGGTGTCCCAGAAGTGGTTGGTATCCCTGGAGGGATTCTTTATCAACCCTGTTGCCCTAATGTCTAGGTGAATTGATTACTAAGAAACTCTTATTTCTTAACTCTAACAGTGATGAGACTGTGTGCAGATGCAGCACTGCTTTGACCTTATGCTCATATAAAAATAAAAGTAGCCCTAAACACAAATGCTTCTGTTAGTAGCAGGTATTTGATGATAAACTAGGCCCATTAAAATTTCCAGTTTTTGATGATGATGAGGGTGCTACAGGAAACATCAAAGGACTAGGTTATTAAAATTCCTTCTGAGTGGGACCTTATGGGCTGTATGAGAAATTATTAGATAATGAGACATTCCCTCAAAATATCAAATGCTATTTAGTGATGTAGTCAGGGGAACACTAAAGTCTGAGGATTATCTACTGGGTCATATATATTGTCATGCAAAAAATGCAATGACGAATAGCTGTTGGTGGTAGAATAAAAGTCAAGAGAGCACTGATGTTTGTCAAGTGGGAATTTTTGTTTGTTCTGTTACTGTTCATTCTGCTAATTGTGCACTAATTAAGATGTGTCTGTGTGTTGTCCCCCTAGAGTATATGTACCAAGCAAACCAAGCTTGCCAGCATTAGCTAATAGAGATTGACAGACCACGTGACTTTCGCGCATTGCATGCCGGGAACTCGTGGCAAAACAATCCAAGTACCGCATCAAATGCAAGCATTTGCAGCACCGCAAAACGTTCATTCTCCGGTTCCAATACCTTCTTGCTTTTTCTTTGCACCCCCCCAAAAAGGTATGTACAAAACGAAGGAGAACAATGCCGGTCCGTACAAAGACAGACTTGATGAAAAGTCAAAGAAAAGATACGAGGAAAAAATCAAAGGAGTGAAAGGGTCAGACCCTTACGAGCACACAGGACCTTGAAATGTACCGTGTAGAACGAAAGACCATCATATGTATCATAAGTTTACCAGTCTCACAAATCGTCTTCATAAATACACATTGTTAACAGTTTATTAATGGGAACTTTGAGCTAAACGTTAATTAATTAGTTGTGGAAATAATTTCTGGTACGTTACAGAAATGTAGCAGTGACAATAATATTGTATGCTGTAATCGTACTGTGCAATTAGTGATACAAAAAAAACTATTTTATCCTGTGAATAAAAGTATATGTTTTTGTCAATGTACCATGGAAATAACAGAAGCGAAATGCAATATCTCAAGGTCTTCCAGTTCTAACTTCTATTGTTATTGGGCAGTTTGTTGAATTTGAATGGGTGCTTAATGCTGGCTCCAAAACAAGTTAGTGTTCTTTGACACCCATGTTACAATTTACAACTTCAGAGCAGAAGCAGACACTTTTACAGGCTGTTTTTGTTGTTGTTGTTGTTGTTGTTGTTTTTTTAGCTAATTACCCACTTAATGATTGTACAGCAGGGTTGAGGTGCAGCAACTCTATTAACACCCAAGAGATTTGTGCTTCAGTTTTGGTGAGTGGTATTCTATTGTTTTATTACTGTTACTTTACCAATTACACCACCCATAAAGTTTACAGGTTAATCAATAAGTGATAGCTTAGCCCAGTAGTTCTCAAACTGCGGGGTAGGCCCCACTGGTGTCCAGGTGGGAAAAAGATAATCAGGCAATAAATATGAATGGAAGTTAAGTTGAAGCATGTCTGTAAATATCATCAACCTGCCAAGGAATGCTGAGGAAAACTAGCCTATGTGGCTAAATCTGACACATTTACATCATTGACTCTAAACAAACATCAGCATTACCAAAAATTTACAGATGTCCACTTTTATATGGTAAATGGACTGGTTCTTATATATCCCTTTTCTACTCTACTGGAGCACTCACGGCACTTTATTTAACATGTTTCCTACACATACACATCCGTGCAAGCACATTTTTCTACGTCTAAATGCTTTCTATTTACCATCCACACTGTAATGAACACATTTGAACCAACTGTGTGTTCAGCATGTTGCCCAAAGATAGTTTGGCATGCAGGCTGTAACAGCCAGAGAAGCACCAATCTTTCAATAGCTGCCCGCTCTAACTCCTTAACCAGAGCCACCCCCCAATTTAATCATATCATTTTGTTGACTTATAATTCATACACATGAATTTGCATACAATCTGCAGTGTTAATGGGATATCTTCTGGTAACACTGAACATTTTATGGGTCTGAGTTGACAAACTTCCCAACCTACTAGGATAGCTAATAAATATTCAGATGATTTCATCACTAAAAAGCATAAAACCTTAAATTATATGTCTGGTTAAACAGACACATGCAGTGTTTTTTTTTCCTATCCCTTTTCTACAACATTTGCTTCAAAACTATGCCACCTGCCACATCAGGGCACATTCCCAAGGTTGGCTACCATGGCAACGTCACCGGTTATAATAAAGAGATGAAATAAAAGGCGCTGGTATATTCGATGATCAGAAGCCTGCATTCCCCAGAGGCTGCGCACATAAAACATGTCTGCCTTGCTATGGAGGCTTTTTGACCCTCTACCTCATTAACACACCATTACACCTCTGAGGAAACAAGCTTGTTTGCTGAATGGCCCTATCTGAAGAAGAGTAAATCCAAAACAAGTTATTATAAAGATTATTTACTCAACTCAAAAATGATTCAGACAAATAGGAAAACACTACATAGTTAAAAAGGGCAAATTACATCATGCAATTGTCACCTCCGTTTGGCCAGATATGACGCTTCTTGCCCTGCAGCAGCATAACATACAACATTTATAGGCCTCTTAAATGAATCAATCGTGAGGGCAGGAGCAGGGCAGTAGATCCAATCATCAGCACCAGGCCTCAGGCTTTGTGATTGTGGATTTAATGGACCTGTGTGATGCAGAGGGGTTTTCAATCACACTGCTTTGGGACGAGACCCTTGCTGGACTCCAAACCCTTCTCAGTAGGCCAGATAAGGGCAGAGGCCCGGGGCTGAGCTGGGACAGCACTTCTCACAAAACCACTCTGGTGTTTTTCTGCTCTCTCATTCAAGCTACAACTAGCTCATTTATTCCAGCAGAAGATCAGCCTCTCCAGCGGCCCAGATTATTGTGAAGTGAGATCTGCTGCACGTCACCGCTGTCCTTGCTCCCAGCTGCCTACAGACAGTGACTGGGCTTACTGTATTCATGCCTTTTCAGTCGACCCAGCTGCTGGGGGGAAAAAGCCATGTGAGGAATTTTAATTAAAGCATGTTCAGCATGAAGAGTGCTGGCTGGGAGACAGAGGAACAGAGGCTTAACACTTGCTTTGTTTGTCATCCTAAGCAGTATCGCACATACTGAAGATGTGACTAGTATCCACGATGACACATGGTAACGGATGTCTAATAATGTTGTTATAATTTAGCTATTTTTCAGTATGGTTGCCCGTTTATATACTATACTGTATATATTCATCCTCTGCTGCTTGTCCTGAAGCTTTTTTTCCATTTTTGTTTAAGACTTTTTTGGTTTGTTTTTTAAAAACCAATTACTAACTATTAGTAGTTGCAATACAATGGACAAACAGCAGAGGACATCCAAGAGTAAACTCCCTTTTGCTAATCTACACATACCGCCAGCATGAATCACATCTTTGGAGGTGTAAATCCTGGTTGTGGGTTGCCAAGTAACCAGGATCCCAAGGGGAGAGATGCTACTTCTCCGATCTGTTATTCTCCATTTATCTTTCACGAATCGCCTTTATCTCTCCACTCAGAGAAAGCTGAGTAACATTTCCTGAGCTTAAAGACTGATTGTGTGTGATTATGTTAGTACAACAGCCAGTTCTGGGTCAGACGTATTCCAAGTGGTAAGTTGGTTGTGAGATCATAGGTGAATGTGTGGATGTTGCTTTCTCTTTACAGCAAATGAAAGTAAACATTGTCAAGGCAAAGGCCATTTGTAGACACAATGGATGACCTTCATGCCAAAACCAGCCCCACATATCTGCTATACGACTGGAAAAAGAGTTTGCTTTGCAATGTGAGACGTTATTGTTACAAACCGCAAAGTGGAATGAAATTAAAATGAATGGAATAATTAAAAAATAAGAAAACGGTTACTGTCATTTTCCACTGCTAGAAATAGACTATTTCCCCTTTTTGCCAGTTTGTAAAAGAAGGTTACAATGTAATGTATGATTTACTTTATTTGAATAATGATTTCATAGAGTCATTATTGTATAATGTGTAATATTTGCCTCTGAAGCTTCAGTGCTGGGACTAATGTCTTCATTATTATTTGGACTGAGACTTTATAGTAGTGCATAACAGTGTAATAATAGCAAACTGAATGTAAAACATTCAGAACAGTGACCTGAAAACTAAGCTTAAGGATAAGGTCACCAGTAAAGAACTATGTCCGTTGGGGCCCAACAATAGACTTTTTCCACTGAACAGTTTTATGCTAATATCCAAAACCTGATAATTTGATAACCTCATATGAAAGTGATACAAGTGAAAAAATGATTATGTTAATTATTATATACAGTACTGTGCAAAAATCTTGAGCCATCACTCATTTCCTTATATTTTGCAAGAAAAATAGGAAACATTGAAAATAGAGTATATAACGCAAAAACAGAGTTTGTCCAAGTCTAATGTGATTGAAGGTCAGTATTTGGTATGACTACGTTTATACTACAACACAGCCTAAACTCTCTTAGGGAAGCTTTTAATAAATTGATTTAAGCAGTCTTCTTGAAGGACATCCAAAGATTTTATCTGGATATTGGCCACTGTTTCTTGGATTCTCTGTCAAGATGATCCCAAGCTGCCTGAATAATGTTGAGGCCGAGCTCTGGCAAGGCCAATCCTTGACTGTGTTTTTAAGATTGCTGTAGTTGTATCTCTCTTGTGACCTGCCCCATACATATTGATGATTTTGATTTTCAGTTCAGTTTTGTGGCATACCACAGCCATTTTCCCTGATTCCCTTCCTCTGTATCTCATTGTACAACTGTATAGTGACAATAAAGGCATTCTATTCTATTCTTAAGAATTGTTTCTTATCAGCCACCCTTCCGCTGAGAGTATCTCTGATGCGGCTGCAGTGAATAGTGGATGAATCAGCTCAGGTTCTGCGTCAGGTCTTTGGTGGATTTTTTCCCCCCATTTCTTAAGGACGGGACTTTCAGAAACTGTTCATATGCTGTAGATATTTTCTTAGGCCTGCAACTTCATTTCTCCTCTATTTGTCCATTTTCCTCAAATTTTTTTTAGGACATATTGCACACCACATGGCAGGTTTTTGGCTAATAGCTCTTTGGGAATCACTTTGTTGTTGCAAAAATACTTTTATTCATGTAAAATGGTGACATTTTCCTGGATGCAACGAAAGAAATGGGGACAAATTATGTTTTGGTGACAGACTGCTAATAACAAGGTGCCTAAAGATAGACGATTTGCTAAGGTCTCTGTCGCGTGCAGACACAAGACTGGGCCATCTTTTGAGCTATGTGCGTTTTTTACGCTTCAATGAGTCATAGGTTAGTGTTAAGTGTCATAACAAACCAAAAAAACATTCTTCTGAAACTGGTCAGGTACAAGGACTGGACTCAAAATGAGGGAAAAAACAGCCAATATCCAAAGTAAAACTTGGAAAGACTTGCAAAAAGCCTGGAGAATTATTCCTCAAGACTGCTTTTAGAAATTCCAAGAAAGTCTGGCTCCTTGGAAGCAAAATACAAAGAAATGAGGTGTTTCTCAAGACTTTTGTACAATACTGTAACACACTCACCCGAATAAAGAGCATCTTCTCCCCAACACGATATCGACCCTGCGACTGTCTCTCTACACAGAACTTATTTGCACATCTGCAAGGTGGATCATTGGCGATATGTCTTACCTGTTTTGACAAAAACAAACATTGATGTTTTTCCTCTGATAACATAAGTAGAAACAGCAAACAGAGGTGAACACTTGCTAACTTACGGCATCATCCAACAGCTTCCCTGTGCTTTTTTTGATAGAAGTCACTTTGGTAGGAGTTGGGGATGGGGAAGGGGATGGGGAAGGAGATGAAGAGGGTGATGGAGGGACAGGCTGAGCTGGAGATACAGGTGACGGAGGAGGTAGAGGCGCTTTCTCTTCTTGCTCAATCTCTTTCTCCAGTTTTATAAGGCCAGGAGGCTCCACATTGTACCTAGATGAGGAATAAAAGAGACACGGAAATTAAGGAAGGATTTGCAAAACAATCCAAAGACATACACAGGAAAAATCTAGACAATCAAGGAGGAAAAAATGTAAAAACCAAGAGCATACCGTGATGCTATCCGGCCCAGCTCTAAAAGACAAAGGCAGACTTCTCGTGGCTGCTTATGAAGAACTGCAAAAAGAGATCACCTTTTAGGATTTGGTGATTAAAATACTGTACTGTATCTGGATGAAGGTGATGAATGAGAATGAGTGGCTGTGTGATGGTGAAATGGACATAAAAACAAGCTTATGAACTTCATGCAATCACATGGTCCTCTCTAATCCTGTTCATCCCAAACCAAATGGAAAGAATACTGCTCACATGTTCATTTTAACCACTTCAGAGGGTAACGGTAACCACAGCAAATAATAGATCAAACCAGACTGTGGACACACAAAGCATGAATAATGTGACACACCACACCATGCAATATAGAAAGAATATATCCACTGCGTGATAGCAAACCTGATGTTGTTACACCTACTGCTGAACTGACAAATCCATCCAGAGAAAGTAAGAGGGAAGGAAAGACAGAAAAAAAAGACATTCGTCAGCTGGATTGTTCACTGAAGCATTTTATTACAATCACATGTCCACTGGATTCGAAGGCGATTATAGTTCACTGCAGCTACCTCACTGCGTGTGTGTATATCCTGGAATCCAAAAATGATTTACATAGCTTGAATATTTTTAGCAATGGCTAATCAACCTTTTAGTCAAAATTATGGCAAGAATTTATGACTATTCTGCGTATTTGTGCTCTTGTCAGGGGCACATCTGATTATGAGGGAGATATTTCAGTCCGGGCATATCTTTGCTGCAAGGACACTGCAGTGAAATAACATGCAAGAAAGCTCTGCGAAAGATCAGAAAGACACAGATAAACACAGAGAGAGCGAATGAGGAAGAGAGAAAAATATCCCTACTGTGAGCAGAGGAAAACATTTGCATACTGTTGGCCTACTTTCTCACCATCTCACACCTTTATGTCCACGCTCCTGTAGTTTTACTTTAGATGTTTTGTGCATGAGTGCATTGTCTGAGATTCCCTTATTGTCAGGTAGAGCTGCTCCCATCACTGTGCTACCCGGGCTGTGAGCTTTTTGAGCACGTCAAAGAAGGTGAGGCTCGGTCTGGTGATGTGAGGCTTCTAATCCTCAGAGGGGAGGAGAGGGAAGCAGGCCAACCTGCGTGTCACTGTACCTGTACAATCAGGCCATTCACAGGAGATAGAAATCTGAGCCCACTGCCCCAGCAGTGCGAGGCATAACCAAAGCCGGACAGAACTGAATCTTTGTGAGGAAAGTGATGCCTGTTTATGTACCTGGTCTGTCCTACATCTTGACATTTTCGCAGGGTGAGAAATAAAAACAGACTCACCTAAACCCTCTGACTCAAACAGACATGTTTCTCCAACTCCGACCTCACGACACCAGGCCAGGAAGTTGGCTGTGTTGTCCCGTGCAAAGAAGGAGCCGGATGGAGCGCTCCGCCGACACGGTATCCTCCGATTGGGAATTCTCTGTCACAGACACAGAGAAGAACCCCCTTACTTTCACTTAAACAAGATCGAATTTAAACATCTTATTCTGCAGTTTAACAAAGAAAGGACCCAGAGCTCCACCGAAACACAAAGCCACATTCTCTACATCTACACTGATGTCTGCTGAGGCTCTGATTTCAGCCCAGGATCAAGAACCCTTCCCATTAAGATCAATATGAGAAATAACGGGTTTGAAAACCTGTGCTACTTTACCAGGCTGTCTATGATTTGGGCTCAAATGACATGCTTATGGGTTTCAGCCCCCACACGGTCTGTTCGGGGAGATTTATGCGCTTTGCTGTGGTTTTATACAGGATATGTGTGTCTGTGCTTTGAGAAAGGTGGAATGAGCTCATGCTGGAAATATGCAAGCTTTTGTGGGTATTTTTCTTTTCATTCCAGACTCTCCTTTTGACTTTTTTTAGGGGATCTTTTGTGTTAAATGACTTTGCATTCCCGGATAAATATTCTAGACAACTTTGCCATGGTTGTTTGTTTTTTTTCCATCTAACAATCAGATGAATGTATTATTATTTCTGCCTTGGCTGCCAAATGATCTGCACTTTTGAATGTCTAATGATTGCACAGGAGGTAGGGGACTTCTGGAAAAGATTATCTTTAAACATATGGGAATAATAATAAGGAAAATGAACTGCTATGCTTGAAATGAGCAACGACAGCTATAATCAAATTATTTCATTCAAAGAATTTAAATACCTCAACATGCACACACGAGATGAGCAGTTTGACACTTTAAAAATACATTTACTTTCTTACTTTAAGAGGTAGATGAGAAGATTGTGCTATTATCATATCTGTTAGTTGGAGGTTAAACTGTCTTCGACTGACATCTCTGTTTTTGCACTGGTTAAGCAAATATGTGGTGAGCTTTATGGGTGCAAGCGGACAGATTTCATGAACTTTGTACAGAGCAGGGCTACTTTTTCCTCTCCAAGCCTTTTAGCTGAGATAACCAGCAGCTGCGTCTAGCTTCATGGCCCTTCCTTTCCCTGTAAAAAAAAATCTCTTTTGGTCAATGCTACTTATTTACGATGTTTGATCTTCTCATCTCACTCTCCTGCCGAAACCAAGTCTTGAACATTGCACCTTTGCTTAAAATTTCAGTGCTATAGCAATAAGTTCCCACAGTTATTTTTTATTTTATTTTTTTTATTTATTTATTTATTTTTGCCTGTCCCGTTTGGTTCTTTTGCCATCAGAATTATTGTCTAAAGGTGAGGAAAGATGCCCAACGGATTTACTTTACCAAATTGACCATCCCAGCCTTGCCGTAATGGTCTATTTGATTCACCTTTTATTGTTTATTTTATTTTATTTTTTTATTTTCACTTGCTAGATACGGGACAGACTTGAATGAGGAAAAGAAAAGGGAGAAAGGAAGAGGGGGAAAAACAGCGGAGAAGAGGGACGGGGATAAAGGGCAAAAAAACCCAAAAACTAACTAAATAAGCAGACAAAAAAAAAAATACATATATCAATCACCTGGATCACCTGTTGAGAAAGAAAAAAGAGAACAAGCAGAGGAAAACGATAGCAATACAATAAACAACATCATGATGATATATGGGAATATAACAGTAAATACTAAATATTAAACATTATTGTGCAGCACGCAATATCGACAGCCCACAGTTTTCCCACAGTTATTGAAATGACTGTACAAAAATCAGCCTGTCAAAGTATTATGACAAGAACGAAAACAACCTTTGCTCATCTGGACTTAATACTGATTGATATAAACACACGGGAAGACGTCTGGAGCACAGCATCTGCAAAGTGTGATTGATGGTACCCCTGTGCTGTAGTCACAGGCCCACTTCGACTTATAACAGGGCTTGAACACAGATGGATGTCCTCTTTTAAGTGGTGAAATCTGATAGCAAACAACTAGAGCTGATCAAATGCCATGACAAGCATAAAGACTCATTGGATGACATACTGTGTATCAGACATGAATAACACGGTTAATCTTTTAATGAAAACCCTTAATGCAGACAAACAGAATCAAATCACGCTCGCTGCACAATATCATAATGCAGCTTTGTTTCATTTTAAAGCCTATCCCAGGACTCTCTCTCTCTCACCCTCTGTTGGCATTCACAATCAATAGACTCCTCTATTTCGGCAGCTCCTCTGCTGTCTCACGGTCATTGACCTCAAGTATTTCCTCACATCTGTGCTGCTGCGCTCACACTGAGATCAGGAGACCCACTGACATCAGCACAGTAATGCTTCAGTGCAAACATCAACAACTCTCACTGAAGGACCAACAAACATCTTTTGCTTCTTGCCTTCCGAACAGAGGCACGAACATGACCCAATCACAGTTTTTGCTGCATGCCACTGAGACCAGCTGTCACTTCAGCTTTTAAATATCTGTAATAAACAGATACTGAAGGTAAATATCCACCTTTTAACATATATTTTTGAACTTTTGAGGATGTATTCATGGGGGTTTTATAATATATGGGGCATAAATAGAAACATTTTTCTTTTGCCTAGTTGTTTTTGTTTTTTTAGTCACCAACCCCATAAAATTACATCTGGACAGACTGATTGGGTTAAATTACAGGTAACCACTCTCAAGGCACCCCTTTTAATGAAATTCATTAAATCCTCAGTCAAGGCTCACAAGAAAAGAACGTTTAATGCTGTTCTCCCAAATCTCACAGGGGATGTGGGGCCCCATCAGTTAACGTGTCCTTGCTAGCCTTATTTTTTTTTTCTTTTTTGCCCTGTTGAAGGCAGGAGGCCCCCATCCCCCCATCCCACTTTATGTGCACTTCTTTCTAAAATTGTGGAGTTCTTTGCAAAGTAGGAATTCACGGGCACAGTCATCAAGAGCGTCTTTCTGCCTCTGTGTTACTTTCCAAATGTTGTGTTGGGATATCCATTTGTATTTAGATGTGAAAAAGACCATTACATGTGGAAGTGGTTTTAAATAGTGACTGTCAGTCAATCTGACCTAATAAGTGTCTGCTCAGATGATGTTTTCATACTCAGGAACAATGCTCTGTGAAATCGTTCAAGCTGAAAGTTAGTCTGGGAAGATTTTCAGCCAAGATTTAACTTTCAGATTAGTGTTTTCACTGTAACCTGTATCACACAGGACTATTGCAGTCTCTCTGTACCTTGCTGTTGCCAAGGGTAGGCAGATCTCCATTACTCTGCCTGAACTTCTCCTGCAGTGTCTCAGCCAGCTGGCACAACAGGAAGCCATTGTCTAAGCGGTCCATGAAGCTCTCAGCAGTGATTTCCAGACCTGAGCAAGAGACACATAAAGAAAGAGCAGCGCCACAAGTTTAAAAAATATACATATAGTGTAAGGAAATAAAATTTAATCTCCACTTCACTCCGGGTTGCGGTCAAACCTGACGCAGTGCTGTTGATTCCTAAAACCGTTTTAATGACCGAGCGTCGCTTTTGCTGCCGGGTTTGTGGCGGCTCTGGAGGAGCCAAAAGCTGAAATAGTACAACATGATTTGAGAGGATCTGGGGGATTTCCTGGTCACACACCGTGAGATGGCAACTACGGAGATGCATAAAAAAATCCAAAAAAACGTGGCATCTGTTTGTACACAGTAATGCCTCATTATCCTGTGCAGTTGCAGAGCTACGTTGGTGATCAACATGTGGTGTCCAGTTGACTGACTTCCAGAGGACCATTCTTTCTTAGTTAGATCATCGTGAAATAGGAGGTGGTGGCAGGGGGGTGTCTGTGGAAAGAAACTGGAGATATTTTTTTTTATCCCTTTTCTCTTTCTTATTGGAGGAGGGGTTTAGGGGTTCAATGTTTAATGAGTTCCAAATGTTGCAATTGAGCCCAGAAAAGAGAGATTGAAATCTTGAGAAACACTCAGTGAGTCTTATACTCTACTCATACGACCCTCGTTCCATGCTGTGAGAGGAAAATATATTTCACCGGGCTCCAATAGAAGTATATTAAAATTAAATATTTAATCATACGAGTTGCCCAGTTCCTTCAATCTGACTTGAGATCATCTTACACTGGGAATATATTAGCATCAGTGAGCTCTGACCGTTTGCAAACTCAGCCTTCTCCTTGCATTTAAACTACAATTAAACACCTGTTAAGTTTCTTGGGTGTTTCTTGCCCATTTGCAGTGCTAAACAGCTGAACAACTGTCCACAGACAAATGCACAAAGACAAACATAAACACCTGCCAAGTGCTTTAAAACACCTTTGTGGTAGTTCCTGCTTAAGTAAGTGTCTTGAGGAGCACATTTTGCCATGACGACAGACAAAAAGACAGACTCGGAAAGTGAAAACAATACGAGCCAAGCTGTTACCGCTTTGACAACAATGACTCATCAGTATAACCAAACATGTGCCTCCCACACAGCAGCGGGCCACACGGCAGGTCTCACCTGAAACTGTAATCAAGGATGTCAGCATCTTGTTTCACAGAATAAAAAAAAAATACTGAGCAAATACAGAACTTGGCCTAAACCAACAAATTAATTCTGTAGTGTTTATTCACTGGAAACACTTGCATGCTCCTGCTTATGAACCCTTTAGTTCCATGGCTTTCTGGCTCAGCTGGTTCCAGTGCAAACACACACACAGCCAGAGATAACACGGAAGACACTGAAGTTGTTTTAAGTTGTTTACACACAGACATGATAGAATCTCAGGAACGCTATAGTTGGTTTGAAAAGTGTCTGTCATATGCATCCAGGAGTAACTCCCAGTCATAACACAATACAGTAGTTCTTAAGCATATTTTAAACAAAAAGCACAGTCTATGAAGCGTTTAGCACCAGGGCCAGCGGAGGCCCTTGGTTATGTGTAACAAGAAACAATAAAGCAGTTCATACTTATCTATTCTAACACTGGCGTAGGTGCAACCTTGTTAATAACCTAAAAGCAGTACAAACATGATAATTACAAACACAAACTAACATACTTATGACAAAAGCTAGAGTAAACGTGCTGCATGTGTGCATTTTGTGTGTTCACTCATACACTGGCTTCCTCATTAGCACTCAGTCATTGAAATTTTGAGAACTCGACTCTAACAAATTTAAAATTCTGATAAAACACTGGTTAACAGACAGTTTACATCTCTGAAACCCAACTAACAAATACACAATTCTTACTGGTGGCACCCTTTGTAAGAATATTTATGTGCTGACTCTGGTGAGTCATTGGTGCAAGAATGTTTAAGAAAACATCATGGAAATGACTGTAGGTGTTTCTCTAAGGTATTTCGCTAATGATATCCATGTTTAATACAAATTTTTCCCTGGCTCTAGGAACAAACAAAAAGAAACAACAACAAAAAACCCTACAAAACTCATTCATACACACCCATTCAAATCAGATCAAAGTGCCCTGTGCTTTTGTTTTGTGGCTGCGCTGTTAAAGAAGTACAACGCAGAGAATCGTTTATTATGCAACCACATCCTTGCACAGTGCTGATGCTCCCACCCACTGTGCATTATTTAAGAACAGTTAATGGTGTCCATTATTCATTTAAAGTAAATCTATGAAAGAGCGTTGCAACTGGAACAGGTCCACACAATCTGGGGACTTTAAAATAGTTTGTAATGAGCGAATTGATCACAGTCCCCTGCAGAGTTGTTTACATCAGCAAAGACCAGTTGAGTTAATGTTAGACACAAAGCAATGAAATGTGCAGGATTTTTTCAAAGCCAAGCTATTTCTAAGCCTGTGTATCCAATGAATCTACAAACCACACCCTGATTTTTTTTTTTAAATTTATTTGATTTAGCAAAGCTAGCAAAACATCTGAGAAATGAATGATTTAAAACACATTTTAACCACAGTTCAGGAATATAACTGTAACTTTATATATGTAACAGTATTACTACCCCTCAAGGCGATTGTTGTTATGATTTGGCCCTATATAAATATAACTGAATTAAATTCGCTTTGCTTAGAGAATTAAACCATGTTATAAACTATAACTCGTGGTAATAAATTCTCACCGTTAATAGCATGTGTTTCTTGCTAGTTAGTGTGACTTACCAAGAATATTAGTGAGCCACAGGGCCAGGTCTTCCTTCATAGGCAGCAGGCTGGCCTCATGTCGACTGGAAAGCCACTGTTGGTACTGCTGCATGTCTGTCAGGCCGGGCCCGCTGGGCTGTTTGGGGCTCAGGGAACTGCACATGGTTCCCTATTCATCAGCAGGAGAAGGTTAAGACAGTCCAATGATATAGAATTCATAAACATGTAAGATATATGTAATATTATGCAAGCAGACACAATGTGCAGCTCCAGTGTGCAGTATAGCAGATCTCCAAAACATTAATAAAGGAGGTACATATTAACCAGATACCTCAGCATATTAATTTGACTCCATCTAAGTCCTGCTAATAAATGCTTTGTTGTTGTAGCAGGCAACAAAACCATCATGTTCTTCTCTATACATGCATATGTTTGAGTATGCACCCATGTATGTATGTATATACATACATGAGCCCCAACATTAAAACCATTAAGTGGTGAAGTGAAAAAAACATTGATCATATTGTTAAAATGCAGCGTTCAGCTGGAAAGAACTGGAAAAACCCTGCCAGACATCAGCAGCAGCCTCCCCCAGCGGGACGATGTACCTCATCAAATGGCAAAAACTGCTCAGGAATGGCTCAAAGAACATGACAAAGAGTCCAAGACATTCCCTCCAACCAAGTCCCCTGATCACACTGTAACGCAGACCCACTCCTGCACACAACACAGTCAGCATTACTTAGATTACAAAGGTTCTTCAGTTATCTGCACAATGAGCTGATTTTCAACTTTGCTGTTAGCTTTGTGTTAATACTTAAACAATAAAAGAAAGATCCTGTGTCCTCACTAGGATACGGATTTGTGCCAGTGTGTGGGACTGTAGTTCAAGGTTGATACTATTAACTGGTAAATGGGACAATTCATCTCAGGCAATGTTTCTGAGTAATGCTAAAGTAATGTAACAAGTACTGCGAGGAATTACTCTCTCCAGGGAATAATTAGGTGATGCAATGCATCACTTAATTCAATTTAGAGTTGCCAGGAGGTGGGCTGGAACCTATCTCAGCTGTCACAGGGCAAGAGCTGGGGTACACTCTCTTCTTCAATTCATTTGATATCAAAAAGGAAAAAAAACAAAAAGAGAAATTCCCAGTGTTATACCCATTCAGTTGACAGTGATGCAAAACAGAGTGAATCGCAGAATTCTCATATGTAATAACCTTAAACCAGAGGTCCATTTACCTTCAAAGTAGTTACACATTTTCTGGAAATATACTAATCCGTCATTTCAGCTCTAGTTAGCATCCTCCAAATATTGTGCAGCTCTTTTGAAAGCTTAAACAAAGTTGGTTACAGCGGTCATGATATGTCACGATAACAGAAGGAACCTCTGAACATGTGTGTGTTTTATACTCGTGATCTAAACGGATCCTCACAATAAAATTCTTCAGTATTAGCTATCATTCATGTTGCATATTCACAAAAGGCGCAGAGGAGGAGCAAGCTGAAACAGGAAAGGAGAGTAGCTTTGTTCTCCTGGTCAAAATCCTGGTATGGATTACAATAAACCTGATGACATTAGAGAGCACCATTTCTTTCCACCCCTTCTTTGGACAAGAGACACTTTTATACCAGCCAGACTGGTACAGTAGGACGTTTATTCAACCAACAAAGAGCTCCTTCAAATTACTCTGCCATCTATTAAGCAGTCTATCCAGCGGTGCATATCAGCCCATCACAGTCAACAGTGCAGCAGGTCTTGCGTTACAGGTTGATGGACAGATTGCATTTGACATCAGTACTTGGAACAATATTTAACTGCTGCTTATTTCCTTGAAAGTGAAGTCACTGACTAAATTATCATTTGGCCCAGTCTTTTCCAATACCAGGCTACAGTGCGCCAAGGGTGCACCGCATTAGCTGCAATATGAAAATCTTTCAGATATCAGTCCAGTGTCACTCCATTAACGGATTTGCGGTGGAGAAGAGTGAGTGCCTGACAAAACAACTGGGCACCAGATGCAAGACCTGAGCTGTGTAACAGGGCACATCAGCAGCACTGCAAGCGTCAATCTGTTCTCCAAAGTACTCTGACATAGAAAAACGATGCAATGCAGACAGAAAGGAGACACCCCAACCCTTAGAGCATAGAGGTAGTGGCATAACAGGGATTTAAAGGCTCCCAAAGTACTCAAGAGTTTCTATTTTAAAATAACAAATAAGATATGAGCAAAATGTCTTTTCTCTGTTACATACAGAACAGACATCTTAAGTCTGGTATCATTACAGCTTACCTAACAGCCAATGATGAAGTGACTTTGTTCTCCTTTTTTCTGGTAAAGTTCTTTGTCCGGGGTTCTTTAAAGAAACAGAAAGTTACTTGAAGAGAATTCACATTCTTGAAATCTTGTTGTTGCATTTTAAAGGTTTTGCCTCCACCGCTTCCTCCAAGCAGGAACATTTCACATACCCTCTGGCACGCAAATAAAAACAGGATATCGGATGCAAATTGCAAGAAGAGCTTATTTAAACAAGGAAGCTGCCACGAACAAGTAGTTCAAAGCACGCGGTGGATGAAAATTTCCTGTGAATACTGAGTGAGTGCAGCACGATATGAGGAATCTGACCTTTAAAGCTGTGTAACATTTCAAGGTCCGTCTGGAGTTGGCTGCAACTAAATGGCACCGTGATGCAAAACTGGACATCAGGACCTTGATGTCTGACCAAGGCTGTCAGATCTTTGAGAAGGCAACTTCTACTCGCTTGCATACACACACAAAAGTCTGGAGCTCGGCGCTCACACACAGGTGCTACATTCCCATGTCCACTGGTGAAGGCTGACAGACAGAACAAGGGCACTAGGATGTCTCATGTCTCCCAGTGCAAGAGCTTAACAAGCTCATTCCCTGTGCATGCATCAGTGGGCAATGCATCAAGCTGCTATTTTACTTATTGTTTTTGTACATTTTCCTTATTAAAACTGTATGGTATGAAAACATTCTGAAAGAGTCCTACGTGTCTTTTCACATGTCACTTTAAATTAACTTAAAATGCACTACAATTTTCTTGCTTTGTTTGAATTCGCACATATTAGTCTCTGTTCAATAAATCTTCATGTCAACCTCGGTTCAGTTTTACTGTTCTTGACAAGATCGTAAACAAACATCGAGCTCAATTTTCACCATTTTTCCCCCAAGGAAATAGCTCCGGCGAGCTGTTGTAAAACATACCTGGTTCCTCTCACCATACTGTTTCCTGACATGTTTAGCTTCAGCAGCCTGCACTCTGCTAAACTGCGTGTATTTTAAGAATCTGGTTCATGATTGAATGCTAGGCTTTGTGCATTCACAAAGAGATCCCACTTTTCAACCCAAAACATAAAAAAAAATATAGAAATACAAAATTTACATTCATCCTGAGTCATCTCGTGACTTCACTAAAGCCTTAATGTTAATGTGCCACGGTTGGCTGCAGATTGCTTCGGGAAAGGCATATGGATGGGAATTTTGACTGATGGATCACATTAGAAAGTACAAGAGCGGCTCTGTCCTCGTAACCCTCTTTGCCCTGCGTGCCCTCCTCCACTACAACAGTTAGCCGATCTGGAGGTTGATTTGTCCATCTAAATAAGGACACTCAGCATGTTTCTACTGCTGACAAGTAATCAGTTGTGTTCAGGTATCAGATTGCTTGAGGTGCTACAGTCAATGAAGCACACGGTCTGTATGGGAATCTGCACTTAAGTCTTACAAATGAAATGATTTCATAATGGAATATGCAACCTCAGACCTTGGATTAAGGAAACATTTGAACTGTCAACAAACCAAAGTTCAGGCTGACTGTATGTCAAGAAAACAGATAAAATGAGCTATTTTTATAGTTTCTCTGAATTTGGTGCCAGGGCTTGGTTTTGGGTAGAGCTGTATTGGCCTCTCACTTCATTTACAACTGCAATAAGGCTTTTTTAGGTTGTCTCCTTCTTTACAGCTGTCACGAATAAAGCGCCCACAACAGACAATTTACCACTCTTGAAATAGGTCCAAGGGAGGACGCTTGATGAGTTATGACTCAAATCCAGCAGAGCGCCTGCTAATTAAAAACCAATGAAGTGACTGAGAGCAGCTAGTACACAAAATATATGATATTCCGTTTAATTACAAATGTCTGGTGTTAACTCTGAAATAGTAAAAAGGCACCTTCCTGTCAACTGTCAAGAAGTAAGACTCAACCAAGCCCCCCCCCCAACTGTTAAATAAGTTTCATTAGATGGTATTGTTCTGCAAAGCACACAAAAGGAAGAGATTGCAAAGGGTACTTTCTAAAAATGATCTAAACCTAAAACAGAAATGCAAGTATGAATAGTCTGACAGTCATACAGCAACAGTGAAAAAGTAGCGAAAAATGTCCTGAATGAAAAGCTTCTCGTGTGTGCTCACCCTGAAGGTTCAGCTCGCTGGTGCGCTCCTTCCTCTCACTCGTCCTGTGAGATGCTGGTTCCCAATTTTCATGCTTTTCACAGTGGTGCACCGACCCACAGGTTAGCCTCCAAAATCACAAACCAGTGTGGACCGGGGTGATCTTTCTCGCTGCGCAAGATCTGACTGCACAAGTACACGCATACGCGCGCACACATATACTCACTCACAGCAGGCTACGCTGCTGCTGCTGATTATGATGATGGGAGGAAAGTTTGGTCGTGCTGGCACTGCCTCTTCTTTGTGTTCCCTCTGTAACATTTTTTTTCTGTCCTGAATTTCTATTCTTCCAAACGCTTTGATGTAAAGTTTTTGTCTGTGTGTGCAACTGGGCTGTTTGATCCATCTAGTCACATTGTTATTACATCAAGACTGGTTCATTTAGGCGTAATTTGAATGACACTATCTTGCATTTGAGAATAAATTGAAATAAGGAATGACGATCATTATTAATACGTTAATTACGTGTTTCAGGTGTAGTCTTGCTAGTCAGAACACCCTTATGATGCTTTTTAATGTAAATATGTGTGTAATCCATATAATAAATACACGTAAGCACAAAAATTCCGAGTTTGTGTGTACCGAACTCATTAACTCATTTTGTGGCGCTACGGTCACTTGATGTGCTTTTATTTTGAAGGGGGTGAAATTATATTGGCACGCTTGCGCACTAACGAGCGGTATATTCAACCGGAAAATCAAGCAGTAGAAACCGGCAACAGATATGTGAGTTTCTTCAACTTTCTCCGTGCTGTCATATTCACATTTTATTGTAACGTCAGCTGTTATTGAAACCCACGTTACACAAGAGGAATTATTTATTGAAGTGCGGCACCGGAAGTCCTGTTTTGCCATGCTAGTATGTTGACTTCTTAGCTAACATGTAGCTAAACCGCTACATCTCTAATGCTATAGCAGTTTTTCAGCAGCATGGCGAAATTCAGATGATTCGGGTTCAGGCTGTAACCTTTCTCCTCAGTGGGTTTCCGAAGCCGGACTGAAGGCTGAACTCTGAATGCTGAGAGCGCCACATGGAGGCGGTGCTGAAAAACTTAGCTAGCACGGTGGAGATGCTGGCGGTGGCGGCGCAGAGCGATGTGGTGAATCACTGGGATAAACAAACTCTGTCCAGGGCGTTTCACTGGGCCCGGTACTGCGAGCACATCTTCTCCAGGTTCCATAATAACGCCGCCATTAGGAGGATCATGGAGAAACAGCTGCAGCTCACAAACCAAACTCTGCGAGATACCATCCCCGGATACACCGAAGTCTCCTTCTCGGACCTCCCCCGGTGCCAGCACTTGTTGCTCGTCAGGTTGTTGAACAACCCAGAACTTCCCAGTTCTCTCATGAAGATCCTCTTTGACACAACGCGTCCTGTCAAGACGATGCACGAAGACTATGAGGACGTCACAGGTCTCTGCAGTCACATAGTTCAATGCAAATCAGTTTATAAGGTCCTGAGCCCCCTAGCTGATATGTCAGCCCTTGGTGCTGATGCTGAGGTGCAGGGGGAGATGCTGATGGAGAGGCTGGAGGCTCTGCTGAACCAAGGCAGTGAAACCTGCAGGGCAGAGCAATTTTTAGGCTCTGTCCTCCAGGGATGCGAAGGGGCATTGCAACAATTCTGTCTAGTCATCGCTGCAGCTCTGCTGACATCCAAAAACTGTACTGCACAAACTGCTGCACATGATTTTCTCTTAGACTGGTTGCAAAAGAAACACAGTCTGCTGCAGTACATGTGTTCTCTACTGTCTCCTACACTTTTGAAAGACCTGGCAAAAGAACATCAGAAACTCAGAGATGCATCTTGTAATGTACTGAAAAAGTGGGCCTCTGAAATGGAATACAGCTTAAGTGATGGCGAATGGGTTCTAACCAGCACGGGCCCCGGCGTGTCCTTCAAGAAACTTACTGAGCTCTTTCTGGCTTTATTCGATGCCAGTCCGTCTCTGAGGGGGGATGTAGAAAAAGAACTAAATGCTTTGAAGATTTCTGATGGAGACTTTGATGTCACAGGGCTGAGTGTGTGGGGAGACCTGCTGTCAGCTTTAAACATGTGACTGATGGTCTTGGAGCTTGAAAGATGATCAAATTGTGGCCAAATTCATTTTTATATCTTGATATTGTCTATGTTTTTCGGTATCAGAAAAAGAATATTTTAAACAGCTGACATCAGTTTTTTTTCTTAATGGTCACGTTGTTCTAACAATTGTAATGATATTTCTGTCAGTTTTGTTTAATTTTACCAAAGTGTGAGCATGACTGTGGGTTTATGAAATATTTAACATGTGAGAATTTAGGCTGGTGATGAGAAGAATTGTTCTAGCAGAGCAAAAAGTTTTAGGTTCTCCTTGAATGTTTTCCACCTTTGTTTACAGAAATGTGTGCTTCAGTACAATATTTGACTCATGTTGCACTTTTCCTCAGTTCATGTATCTAGACAAACGCATAACTGCTGATTACAGATGCAGTAGAAAGATATAATAAAAATGGTCACTGTGGTGGCTCCTCTGAGACTGAAAATTTGGTGCAATATAGTAATTCTTGTTGAAATGTAATTTTTTTTAATGAAATATTGTGATAATTAGAATATTTGTGATGACCTCACTGTTGGTGAAATTGGCCAGATTTCTTATTATATGAGATTTTAATCTAGAAAAGTGGAAAAAGAGGCAGGAGGAAGAACAGGGTGGGGCACATGATACAAGAACAATGGCAAGTGAGATCCTGCTCTTGATGCTTCAGGAGTTAATCTCTATCTCTGGATTTATTGTTTTTAGTGTGTGTGTGTGTGTGTGTGTGTGTGTGTATTTTAGTCAGTCCAGTTGGCTGTTTGTTGAACTGTTGAACTTACTTGTTTGGACACATTATAGCTTTTGTGCTGCTTTGTAAACCGTGTCAGCACACGATCCGACTCACTTAAACTGAACGTACTTGTGAGACAGTAAACAGATGCAATGGATCTTTGGAAGCTCAAGGTTTCATTCAGCCTCATAAATTTGATCCTAATACCAAGCCATTAGGAGCTGCGTTGTTTAAAATTCTGCAGCGGCTGATTTATGAGGACCTAAAAAGAAATTAAAGTTTAATTCCGCATTATGCAGATCTGTGGAGAGAGATGGGTTTGATAATAAGCTCGGGGCTATAAGGAAATAGCAATAAGCAAAGCCAGCAAAAGCGCTGTGCAACCACGTACCCTTTCCTAACTCTACACACCTCAAATGATTTTCACTTTCTTTCACACCATCTGTCAGTAAAAGCCTCCAGCAGTGCTTGATCTAAACCTATACATTTGGATTGGCTTAATTCCAGCCATGTGACCTGACTGCCAATTTACACATCTCAGACCTTGCCCATGTGTCTGAGCGCTTGTGCAGCGAGGGATCAATTAGTCAGATCAGGCGTCTTCAATCAAACTCTGCACAATGGCTGGTGTGTGACATAACCCTGTCAGCGAATTAGAGCCCGGGCCACCGTGCGGAGGGAAACACCAACACAGCCACGGCTCATTTAACACACCGTGAAAGCAATTCTCGTAGAGACGGACGAGGGTCACTGAGTAAAGGGCAGCGCATACACAACCAGTTTATTTCCAGCCAGTGAAGAACATTTGCCAACCAGCAACGACTGCAGAGATCTAACCTGCTCTTGTGTTATAAATGCATGCAAAAATAATTATGAATTCGTTGGGAGTGTGTTTAATTTACAAAATCTACAAAAATGCAGTTTCAGAGCACCATTCCACAAACTAAGGAGAATTATCCACTTCTACTCTTTTAGCATGTAGCCATCGGGTGCTTCCACCCACAGAGTTATTTTCTTGTGTAGATTTTGTGGTTCTCACTCTGATTCACAGCCTTGCACGTTACTGGCAGGGTGAGAGAGCTGCCATGGTGATGATTCAGATGTGTTACCATCTGACTCCAATAAGCCTACAAGAAAAGCAGCATTTTTAGTACTATGCCTATGCCAATCTAATATTTAATAAAACCATGTTTTACCCGTTATTTATAACAGTCTAAATCATACCCACATGTCTGGAAACCAGTAAGAAGAAACTGCTTCTTTTGGCAGTCTGTAACACTATTTAGCTATTAAACATCCACCCATCCATCTATCTTCTGAACTGCTTATTTTATATTTGACCTCCAGCTGTTTGCAGCAACCTAGTAAGCCTTTATTAGAACAGACTGAGAGCCGAAGTCAGCCGCTTACATCCAGCTTATTTAATTTAAATGTGTCATGCGCTTTATTAATTCAAAAGGACAAATGAGAAAACGTATAATTTCATACATGTGTATGAGTTCTGTCTGTTATAAAGCACATGCTCTAAGCAAAGAGTTGGATGATTGTCTTATCCTTCCTTATTTTACATTCCATCCGTCCAGCGTCATGTTTGTTCTCCAGCAGCGGGAGGGTAACAAACTGCAGTGAGACGTGCTGAGAGCGACTGCTGTCCTGCAGCTCCTGGAGGGTCATGAAGGATAACATTCATTAAAACTCAGATCCAGCCACCATCTGGTGGTGTGAATAGGGAGTCCTCTGAGGGGGTGGGCGCAGGAGGGTAGAGCCCTCCCTCGGCACGTGCCTAAGCCGCTCCAGTCTGGCCCCTTTTGTGTTTTCAGCGATGGATCACAGAGGCAGGAGAAACCCCTCCGCACACCTGTGTCCCACTCAGAGGATGACAACGATCAGCGACCACCGTCAGCAGGCACGCTGCTTAAATGGGTTTGGTGAAGTGAAGCAGCGATTATCATCGTAACATCTTAAACTAAACATCTCTGAAGTTTGAACAATGAAAGTGGCAACAAATTTATTTCTTTGAGCGACATGATGGATTATATAAATAAAGAAAAATTATGTGCAGAAAAGCAAAGTGAAAATAAACCCTGCAAAATATTTTGTCTCATCACCTGCAAATTCTTCCACTCTCTTATTAAGATTTCTTCCAGAGCTGACGGTGCTTTGTCAAAACACGTCAAGTATCGTATTGGATCTTATCTTCCTTTGTCTGCTTCTGATACTATATCAGCATGTATGAAGCTGTCAGTGTAATCTGATATGGAGGGGTGGGGGGTAGGGAAGTGGATGGACCTGTGATGGATTGCTTCAAATGTGACTGCACTTCCGTGGAAGGTGAAAAACAAAAGACAAATTAAATGTAGCAGTCTCCGTCTACTCCTCTCATCCTGGAAAATTCTCACCTTTGCATCCCCGTTTCTCTGACTCATTAGAGCAAATGCTATCAAATGTAATGCTAATGGATACAACTGGAAAGTACAGCAGAGATGATAGCACACCGTTGTAAAGCCGTTTTGCAGAGGGTTTCATTTAAAATAGTTTTTTTAACGTTTAGGAGTCATGATGGAAACACACCAGTCTTTTTTTTGTGTGTGTATGTTCAAATTACATATGGTTTGTAGTGGGTGCAAAGTAGTGATATATAACATGTTATTTTGTGCAAATCCAATTTGAGCCAGCAAGATCTCCATTAATAAAGCAATTAACAAGCGAGAGGAAGGAGGTGTGTGGAAAAACCACTCGCCCCGGGGATGTGTATTGTCATGTCGGGGGGTGTTGTAAAACAGTAATTACTCCAATCCTGCCTTGAAATTTAGGCCTTAATTAATACCTGATGTTTTGGGGTATGAGGAATGTGAATTATACGTGAGGACTAAAAAAATATTGAGAATGCAGTGTGGAAAAAGAAATTGTCTGAACTGCAGACTAGACAGGGGAGGATGGAGCAGGAGGATAATTGCATGCAGGGAGAGTCCCACAGGAGGCGTGCAACCCCGTCATCAAACACTCATTGTGGCTGGGCCTCATCCCATTACAGTCTCCCAGGAGCCAAAGTGCACCTGCCCCACAGACTGACAACTACTCAATCCCCCTCCACTCACCCTCCGGATTACACAACCAGACGAACATCACAGTGACCGAGCCGGAGATGCTGCAGAAATATAAAGAGTCAGTGATGCAGGCAGGTGAAGGCTGACAGACTTTCCACCTGTGAAAGAAATGCTGACAGAAGCTTTTTGCCCAATTACTGTGCATCCTAACGGGCACGTCACTGGTGTAACAGCCATGACGACTCCGGCTGGTTAGGCATGAGAAAACATGTTCCACGTGAGTGGTGACACAATTGTGTTTTCTGTCAAATTAACGTGCGCCAAGCAGGCATGAGGGTTAATGGTTTCCCTCCTCGGCTGGGTGAATAATCAGGGGAGAAACTGAGATTTATTGTAATTGCTCCCCCTCCTGACAGTTGGGATGATTTAGACATGAAGCTGCTTCCTGTGATCCAACCATCAATTAAGGCAGTGAAAGGCTACTGTACTCTGAATGTCCATCACCAAAACCAGTGCTTGAGACAACCCTTCAGACGTCATGCCTTTCAAACGTTCCCTTCGGGTAAGAGGAGCGCTCCAAAGGTTTCACGTGCACGAGGCTGCAGAGGTTTTCCCAGGACATTTTCACCTTGTGCTGCAGTAACAGGACAATGGAAATTCAGACACTGCCATTCTTCAAGAAGCTGATCAGACTTCTGATGATGGAGTCAGTCATTCCTTTTATTTTGTGCTTTTCATAGTCTTATACACCAATAAGCTGGAGACGTACATGAATTATTTACCACAGTTATCAATATTGCTTGCTTTACTTAGCAAACAGTTAAAAGAAAAAATCTGTTACTGTTCAGTTTATCATAAGAGAAAGAGAAGATGAGTCAGTGTTTATATTTTTAAAAAGTTGGCTCTGTTGATCTTTAGAGCATTTTTCTTAGTACAAGTTGATTGCTCTAATCTCCTGTTGCTGCATTTTTTTCAGCAACTCTACACAGATTATCTCCATAGATATCAATATGTCACTTGTTCTAATGTAATTGTACATTTTTATTCCTTTATGTTTTTATGCTTTAATTTTCCCTACCAGAGCTACTTATTTTATTGAGTTTTATCAGGTAAATTTTGTGACAACAATGTAAATATTTTTCAACCTTAAAGCTGCAAACAGTGACTACGACTACTATTGCTCTGTATATTTCTTTTCAGGTTTCACAAGTGTTTTTTTTATTCTAACAAAAATGCATTAATAACTACAGAGGCGAATCATCAGTGCGTTCTCCTGTTTAAATCTTTTAAACAGGAGCATTTTTATCTTAAAATGCTAATGAATTCTAGAGCTAAACAATATTGATTCGTCTTGTGATTGGACATAATGAAGGAGCTGGGTCAATACCTTAATGTGCTACAGAGAACAGTGTTGAGCTCAAATGTGCAGAGAAGGAAATGGGTGTGTCTGAGACCGCACATTGCAAACATTAAAGTGTCATCACCTTTCCTTTCCTTTTTTTGTTTTGTCCTGATCTTTTTTCCTCTGAAACAGACCCAACCTGACTCCACATCAGCTTATTAAAATCAGAAGTCTCTGCAAAGACGTTAAATGGTGGTGGTGTGCATGGATGAAACAGTTTAGTAATGCTGTTTCTCTTGCCTCTTACCAATTACCAGGGTACAGGGTCCAGTGGTCTCCCCTAGACCCCAGAGACCTGTGCCATTGATTTACTAATGAGAAACTTGCAGAGAACAGGAGATGCTTGGCAGTGATTGGAGAATTGGTGGTTAACCGATTTGGCAGTCTGTCTCCAGTCAGTGAGGACTAATGTATCATCCCATTTACACACGAGATAAAAATGACAAAAAATTACCTTTTTGATTACTTTTTTTTTTTTTTTTATAAAATGATATGAGTATTTTTTTATAACACCTTTTGACATCAACATACCTCTTCATTAAACACAATATTAGAAGCCATAAAATCACATTTATCTGTTTACATAATCTTTAGGCACAAAGCCTTAATAGCATCTTTTGGTCATCATAAACATTCTTAAATATTCATATATTTTAAACATCCTTGCAGATTTTTCATACAGCAAAATGAATCAACGTGTTTAAACAGCAAATAAAGTCAGGTGGAAGAGCCATCTATTAATCCATGTGGTCCACTCATATGCGACGATATCAATGTGTCAATAAAGTACTTTTTGGTGACAATGACAATAACCAAGGGACACCAGGGGATCACAAAACGTGGTTGTTCATACACAGCAGTGCATTCCTCCTGCGTCATGAGCACTAAAGCTGGGGTCTCCAGACACTAATTGTAATTTGTTAAAACACACACCTTAATGTTGATCATCACATGACTCCAAAAACAATTACAGTTAAGATACAGCAAGTCAGTGTCACGTTACAAAACAGAATGTAATGGGTGGCAGCTGGTACACAGAATTTATTGCAGTGCACACCGAACATCAATAGTCAATGTTTTCTGAGCAGCAGTTGCCTTCACAACTTTTTTGATTTGTCTCACGTCACGACCGGAACCTGATTACGAAAATTCATCTCATTATTTATAATGGCGGGAGACGCTTGAATCTAAGAACAAAGCAGTAGGCTGAATGAGGACTATCGGTGGCTGTGAGGCGGCCGCGTCTGAAACATTGATCTGAGCAAAAGTCATGCAACAAACACACACTAAAACTCTACGGTTCAACTTCACTCACGCTATTTTTGTCTTATATTGTGTTACAGGCCTCACTCGAGAAGAAGAAGACCTTTTTTGCAAGCAGACGTCTCCCTGAAGAGGTACTGTCCATGAAAAATATGGCCTTTTATATTAATGTTCACACAGATCAACGACCCAAAATTCACAATAGTCTCACAGAAACAGTATGCAGGTATATACAGTACATAAAACATATTTGAGAAACAGAATCTTGTTTTTAGAATACTTTCATAGTTTCAGTGCAATCAGAGTAGTATTTCAGAGAAGGACCCTACATGATGGTCGACTGCAGTTTCGTCTGGCTTGTCTTGTTCAAGTAGATTGATGAGCTTTGGGTCCTAAATAGTACGACTGCTGTCTGTATAGTGAAGCCCTACTGTAGGTACATGTGATGAGAAACATGAGGCTCTAATGAGGATTGTTCTGCATTGCAATTAACTACTTCTTTACAGTGGCTTTTGAATCTTCTTTTACTTTAACATACAGAATGGATTTAAACATCTAATATAATGCTTGTGCAACTGGCGATGATGAGTCTGTTTTCGTGGGCAGACTCACCACAACTGTCTGGTTTAAGAGTAGCCGCGCTGGGTGTACATCTTTCCCGCTGGCTCCTGTACGTATTCCTCCGTTTTATCCCAGTCCTGCACCCAGCCTCCGTTCAGCTGCCCCGTGGCCCCGTAGCTTTTAGCCGGACCTCCCATCGCACCGTATCCCTGGGTGATGTCGCCCGTCTCCTCTGCCAGCTCGTCCTCATCTATAAAACCGCACTTCTCTTCGCTGGTTTCTTCAGGGTCAGCCCATGGCTGTTTCTCCCCCGATGCGAAGAGCCCGTAAAATATCACGCCTCCGTAATGCACGAGAGAAGCAATGAGGAAGACATACTGCCACTCTTCACGAGTCTGGGAAATGGACAAAGGTTGGAGCCAGGCTGAGTCCCTTTGTAAAGTTTTAGGTTATAACATAGAACAGATATGCTCTTCTAACTTGCTCAGATTAGGCAGAACAAATGCGCCACAACTGCACCAGTGGTTTGCATTTAAGTAAATAAAAATATGAGGGTAAGGATCAGGCACAGAGGGGATTGGTCATATTTTGGGCAAAATAAGAGGGTTTGCTACAGGAAGGAAAGCTCTGTGATCCAGGTTTAAATGATTACACTATTAAACAGTAGACTAGGATCAGGAGATGGCTGTGGGTTTTAAAAACTCAAACAAAAATATGTTTGTTGTTGCCTGATTACGACTCACCTTGTTTTTTGTCATTGCTCCCACTATAAGAGGGCAGACCATCCCTGACAGTGTTCCCACGCCATTGGAAATGCCCATGAGGATGCTGGCATAGCGAGGGGCGATGTCTAGATGGTTCACGTTGAAACCTGCAACCGAACGAAACAAGGAGACTTCCTGAGTCTGCTGCTGATTCACATTGATGTGGGATCAAATATGAACAATACATAATTGTTTTAGGACTCACCTGATATTGCAAAACCGCTAAATCCCACCGCCAGAACTAAGAAAGAGATGGCCACCCCCTTACTGTGGGAATAACCAACCACTAGTAAAAGAGTAGCCTCCATGCCAAAGCCTGAAAACAGCAGGAAAACAGTTAAGTCATAAACTGATGAGGAGTACTTTAAAGAACTGACAAAAATCTCATGATTAAGGCCTCACCTCCACAGTTCATGATTTTGCGGACCGTAGTGGTGGACATGATGTTGTGGGTTCGCAGGTAGTCTGCTAGCTGACCTCCTAAAGGCACGATGATGGTCATGACCAAGTGAGGGAGAGCTGACAGGATTCCAACCTGGGAAAGCATCAAATACTTTTCTGAAGCAGCTCCAACAGCAGCAGAGCAGCTGTCACAACAAGAAGGGGATTCTCTCAGTCTCAGAGCAAATCTCAGCCTCTGCTTTAACCTCTTGGCTCCTCTATCACATGTCAGCAATAATTCACCACAGTAATAACAGAAACTCATCCTCAGCCTGAATTGCATCTGTCAGAGCAGCCTGAGTGATGCTTTACACTCTCGCTGGAGCTCAGAGGACTGGGGTGATTTGAGACTGGCTGCTTTCTTTTTACATGTATGACACATGAGGACAGGTAAAAACAGCAAATCACAGCATTTTCTAAAGCAAGTTGTCCCAAAATTGCAAATTTAAATATCCATTAAGCTTCAAAATTATTGCTTAATGTTCTATATGTTCTTTTTTTGAAATATAAAAACAAAATATTTTTTGTTTTATATTGTTCTTTTTTTAAATCCATGGTTATACATTTAAAATTAGGCAATTATTTCCATTGAGGTTGAGCAAATGTAATAATGGTTCAACAGAAACAAACTTTCTTCATTTATTACTTTTTAAAATGATATCGTTTAGCCTGCTGCATTGTATTAGCAGCTAAACGTACAATTATACACTTAAGTCTTCCATTCCAGCCTAATTCAACCCTGGGGTGACAATTATTAATACAATCTATAATGCAACTAGTACTTAAAAGAAACCAGGAACAAATGTTGCACCTTGAGGCAACTTTTGTTGTGATTTGGTGCTATATAAATAAAACCGCATGGCTTTAATTACATTTATGCCATTTAGACCCAAACTTTCTTCCTAGGATGCTTCTTTTAAGTTATTATTTACTTAGCTGCCAAAGGGAGTCGTTAGCGGCTGAAATCTAATCAAAGAGGTTGATGTGCCTAGTAGGGTATAATAAGTTTTAAGTACTTTACGGCTGCTTTAAACACCTTTGCCCATCTGTGACTAAAAACTATAATGAGAGTGAACTAAAATAGTAAAAGCTGTGGGTGAAATTTTAAGCTTTTCACCCACAGCTTTGTGGGTGAAAAGCTAAAGGAAGCCAAAAATTCTCTGTAGGTTTCTAAATTCAAACAACATTGTTGTTATTGTCACCCTGTTTTAATATTTTCATCCAGTTATGTTACTCTAACAAATTTCAGTTAGGGCCAATTTGGTATGTTTATCCCAGTGGTTCTGAAATCATGGGTTGAGCCCCACTGGTGAGGCATAGGGTCACTGCAGTGGCTGCGTGGTGAACCATCTTTTTGGTTTCCAGAGTTGGGATACCTTTGTTCAGCTAGAAAATGAAAACATTTAGTCTTTAAGAATAAATACATGACAGTAAACGGCTGGCATAACAACAAAATGGACCTGTTATGCCTTTTTTAGAAGCAATTATAGCATCGTGTTATTTGGAAATTTGATGGTGAGATCAGATGAGACATTTTAGGCCTAATAATAGACTTTATAAAGCATAAATTTACTCACCTTGCTGATCTCAAAGCCAAAAACTTCTTCAAAGTATGCAGGCTGACTGATGAGAAGCAGATAAAAGGTCCAGCTTCTGCAGAAGTTGGCCACAATGATTGCATAGACAGGCATAGAAGAGAAGAATTTCCTCCAGGGAGTCTTGAATTTCTGTTGAAGCAACGTGACAAATGCTAAATCAGCCTGAGCAGTGTTTGGTGTGGCATCAGAAATCAGAAGATACAGACTGAGCACCCACCTCCATCGCGCCCATGAGCTGGGCACTTTCGCCAATGCTCTCCTCGATGTAACGGCGCTCCTCCTCGGTGATTGTTGGATGTTCTGCCGGGCTTTCATAGGACACCAAAATCCAGAACATGTACCAAAATATCCCAAAGGATCCTGAACAAATCAAACACATCAGTCATTAAAAAACTTCTGATGATACAGATCCACAGAACGTAAAATTCAAGCGGAGATTTAGCTGCTGTCAAAATCAGAATACAAAAGTCTGAAGTTTGGTTAATTCTGTAAAAATAATGGAAAACAAACATATACACTATCTGATTTAATGGGTTAGTCATAATAATGCTTGGGCTTATTTCAGAAGTTTAGAGAGTATATATTAGTTAGATAGATGCGTGCATAGACAGACATGGGAGAGGCTGTGAACTGACTCACCGGTGTCAGTTATATAACATTGACTTTGTAGACTTTGCTAACTTTATCTAATAAGCCCACATGAGACTGTAGCAGCACAAGAAAAATGCACAGAATTGAACTGTATGTCATTTATGGCTAAGAAAAAACACAAATGTTACATTATTTCTACCTTTACATGGAACAGAGTGTCCTTTTAAGGTGAAGTCAGTCAGATAAAGCAGTACTTACCATACACATAGAAGACAGAGGACCATCCAGTATACTGGACCAGGATCCCAGCCAGAGGCATGGCGATCACTGCGCCGGCGTATGATCCTGAAGAGGACAAATTGTCATGACTGAGCAGAAAGCGATCTGTGTTTGTGTTTAGTTACAAAGGTGTTCACTTCTTGTTTGCACACCTTTTAGGCACGGTGGTATGTAACCCTAAACCTGCACTCAAGTGTATAAAGTAACGTGATGATGCATGATAATAATGAGCCAATCTTGCTTTTGTGTGTCTGTTTTATACCACAAAACGAGATGGTTGCCAGACGACTTCTTTCCAGCGGCGGAGCCCATTTACTCCAGATCCCGTGGCAGGCCGGGTAAGTCACTCCCTGTATGGTGAATGAAAAACACAACATTACAGCAACAGTAAGCTCAGACAGCGATTGTTTCCCACCAGCTTTAACATACTTGTTTTGACAGCGTAAAAGCACAACATGCTTAATTTGCTAATTTCATCAACACTGTAGCTGTTTTTACACTTAAGGAAAATATATTCTGCTTGATTGACGCCGTCTCTTCTTTTTTGCCAGAGACTTACAAGTCAAATTGCAGTTAATAACAAACAAACTGACATGCATTGTAGCTGATCTTTCTAATAGAGACTAATGGCTTAGGTGTGAGTCAGTGCAAATTCAAGCTGACTGCCCACTTCATGAAAGAAAAAAAAAAAGAAGCCCTGGATTGTTCCCATTAAATCTTCATTACACACTAAGTGGCATACAATCAACTATCGATAGACACAAATTGCTGAGGCTTGCAGTGGGAGACACCCTGAAATGCTAATGTTTAATTTGTAGTAATAAGCCATGGCGCTGAACGCAGGCAGCTCCCTCTCTGAATGGTCATGAGCAGCAACTGAAACTACAGTTTGGAGCTAAACAAAACAACAAAAGAAGATGACCTTCAAACTAATAATAGCGTCTCTCCCTCTAAAATCATTCCCCTTCTTGAGCTGCGGGAGCCGCCCGCATCAAGTGGTTTTTATCTCTTTTGTTCATTGTGTTTCTATGTGAACATGGAGCTCTCTAAGCCAGGCAAGCCAATACACATAAGCCCTGCTATTCAGGGTTTTACTTTGTTTGATGATTGTGTACTAATATGTGTACAGTATAATGAATAGAGCTTCTTTTTTTTTCAGCAGAAATCCAAATAGAGAGCAGCAGGCTTGAATAGAAACAGAAGATTGCTGTAAAACCTGGCTGAAAACAGAATGTCAGGACAATTTCATTAGGAAGGGGTCAAACTCAGCTCCTGGTTTGATAATGAGGCATCATCCTTGAGTGTTTTAAAGGTCAAAACCAAATTGTGCATCAGTACCTCCACCAACCCTTGTAATATCCTCACAAAGATGACACATCCGTAGTGGACCCGAGCGGCAGAGGGAATGAACATGTTCAGGGTAGATGTCAGCACGATGGCAGCACCAAAAACTCTGGATAAACAGCATTACAAGATTATTTGTCAAATTTGTATCAAAATGAAATCTGTATGTGACTCAAGGAAAAGAAAAGCGGGGTCTGCATCTTTGTGATCAACTGCAAATATCAGTAAACAGTAGACTGAATCCTATATTTTAAATTTTTACAATATAGTGGAAGAATAAACACTCATAATCAAGACAAACCTGTCCTAATTGGGTGCCACACACACAAGCGCGCACACAACAGGCTGTTATTTGGTTTCCAGGGGAGTGAGGACAGGAGGTGTTTGCAGCAGAAGGCGTCAGGGGGCTCAGCTGACTTGGTATGATGAAGCTCTTCAAAGATTCATTTAGATTCAGTTTTAACAATCCTGTAATGTTAATGTAATAAGGACCCATGCTGCGAGCTTAGCGCACTTTATTTTTCCTTGCATCTCCTTCTTTCTGCAGTATCTGTCTACACTGCGCTCTAATATTGATCGACAGTTTAACTGTTAGATTTTTTTAAAGAATGATCGTTTTGTATATTTATCTATATTTCCAGTCAGCTGCTAATGAAATAATAAGGTATAGAAGTGGGACGCGGTGGTTGAAATCACGCTACAATCTTTGCTTAGAAGCACTTCGCACACATGGCTTTGGCCGGTGTGGTTGCCATGCCTCTGAACATAAAGGATTAGACACGGTGGTCCCGTGGGAGCTCATTAACACGAGGAGGCACGCCTGGCGGGCATCAGCCAAATCCCCAGTTTATCTGCAGGTTTCTCCAAACCTACTGGTTTGCCAACAAGTCTGCACACTAAATTATACCTTTTTTTGTTCGTAGATAAAATGGGAAATCAGTAGGAAACCGATATTTCCTAAATACAATCTCCTCAAAGACCTAACTCAAAAAATGTGTATAGTTTTACCTGTTTGCAGCCAGCCTGGAGGAGATGTACCCTCCTGGAATCTGAGTAACTATGTAGCCCCAGAAGAAGGAACCGTGAATCATCCCCACAGTCTCCGGGTCCCAGTTGAATTTCGCTTTCTTTCAGGCACATAAAAATAAAAATAAAATTACGTCTCTTTTAATTCGCTGTAGTTTGTATCGCAGTGAAATCACTTTTTCGTTTTTTCCCCTAAGTGGTAAGTGTTACAGGAGAGAAATATCTGCAGAAAGATGAATATAAAATGTATTGCTTCGCAGTGAAATTGACCTCTGTGATGATCTAAGTTGATAAAAAAAAAAATCACAATTTCCAATACATTTACAACAAAAAAGCGCAAATTACTCATTTTGCTATTTACTCTGTTAACACATGAAAGGCACTTGAAAGGGACCAGACTCAGTTCTATCTCACCACCTATCACACATAAGAGGGTGGGGTAGAGTGGGGTGTAGGATGGGGTTCCTGGTGAATGAAGAGGCGGGGTTTACAGGCACCTCTTTGATGATTATCTTGCCGTTTTGGTGGATTGTGCTGTTATTGACCATGCTGACGATGGCCACACCCAAGTTACACCGGATCCCGAAGGAAATGCAGAAGCCGAGCCCGCTCAGCATAGCGATGATGTATCTGCGCGGCAGCCCGAAGCACGTGCAGTCACACAGGGGCGTCTTCCGCTCCTCGTCCGCTCGCGGTCTCCCATCCTCCGTCAGCTCGATCGCTTCACCTGTTTGCTGCCGCTTTTCGAGTCTCCTGCATTTCGATTATATAATACTCATTTTTTTTAGGTGATTCATATGTTCAAAGCCGGCGTGAATGGATGATAACAAAGTACCAGCCAGATACTGTGTTTAAAGAAAGAAAACAGTATTTTTAAAAAAAATAATATATATAGATTTTTTAATGAATTTTTAAGACAGATCAGCAGAAATTATTCCCCTGGAAATACCCAACACTGCTTCTTCGCGTTTATGAATGAGAATTTCATTTCAACTCCAGGCCCTGTCAGTGACTCTAATTTATTCTTTAATCTGACACAGGCCTCCAAACGCCTGCACACTCTTCATGAGGGGGAAAATATCCTGTTATAATTTTTTTTGACTTGTTGAAAGGAAAGGATGAATGGAATCGAGGAGAAAAAGATGACCTTCATACCGCATTGCAGTATTATCTGCATCAGCGCTGTTTGCAGTTAAACTTCGCCCTATATATGTTTTTTTAATTAAATATTTAATTAGCTGCCATAAATCCGGTGTAGGAATTTCGCTTCGGCTCCAATTCGGGAATTTTCACCGAAATTTAAGGTGCATTTAAAAACCCTGACATGCGAAGGCCTCATCCGGTGAAATGACTGGCCTAGCTACAGCTTAAATCAAACAGATTTGAGTCACGTTTTTTTTTCTGTGCTACAGCTTCTAAAAATCATTTTTGGCTCAGCAAATAAACGAATAAGGCTCAAAAGGGTTCCAAACATATGCAGACCCAGATTAAAACCTTCGTATTTCTTTTGGAATATTTGTCGAAGATTTGTTTTTGCTGCCATAATATAATTTATGTGCATTCCCAATGAGAATTAAAAAGAAAAAAATAAATAAATAATAATTCGCTTCTATTCCACCACATCCTGCTTCCCTGCTCCAAATCTAAACGGGTGTTGTTTCCTTTGTAGTCAGCCATCAGTTTCACCCGAGCCACGTTTAATGCAGCTCTTCGTGGCCGTTAAAGAATATAGGAAGTCAGTTGATATGAAGTTCATCTATCTTGAAGTAATACAGATGAATACGTGAGGTAATAGATATCCTCCGACCTTGTGTCACGACTCGTTCTGTTTCATTAATTATTAAAAACACCCACAGCTGCTGGTGGAGAGGGACCGTCCTCCAGGGAAATATCTGATCCTTAAATATTCGGGCCACACGACTCTGCTCTCAGCACCCTGTTCGTGATTCATCTCATAAAGATGAGATTTACCTTTTTTCTTAAAAAAAAAAAAAATAATAATAATAATTGTAATGCAGTAATAAGCACATTCAAAGCCAGTGCACGTTTTCTTTGTCTGTGTCATCTAATCATTTGGACGTATTTTCTATTTTAATTGATCCTTCCAAAACTAATTCTGCGATTAAAAGAGATGTACAATTTCTTACCTGTACAGAGCCCCGAGGGCCTTTCCTGCCATTTGTTTCATCCCCTCTTTACTGGTGGGGAGAGCTTTCTCCTTTCCTGGCTCCATATCCAAATTATCTTCTGAAAACAATTTCTACAATACTATAACAAATATAAGTGCAGCATTAAAAAGCATATTGTTAAGATATTAATCCAGAAATAAGGCGCCTATTTCTCTTCAGCGAAAAGCATGTGTCCAGTAGAAACAAACTAAAAAAAAAAAAAAAAGCCCCAAAAAAAAAATGGAGAAAGACGAGAGAGGCGTTCAGTCTGAAAGGGTTGCTTTCACAGTCACAAAACAGCAGTCAAATAAGTCCGCTTTTGCCTTGCGCAATGTTAATCCGTGCAGTGCCATCTTAAGATCCAGCCCGCGATAAGAAAAAGGCACCACCGAAGATCACAACTTGGATTTTTTTTCCCCTCCGTTTTTATTGTTCTATTATTTGAGAAACTGAGGTGAGATTGTGGAGAGCTTGAGCCGGCGGAGATGATCGGAGCTCAGGTCTAACCTGAGGTGGGGGAATCTCCGGTGTGGGTGCAGCTGGAGGAGGTTTCAGCACCGCGGACAGCGCACAGCTCATCTACCTGTCAGCAGCTCCGCGCAATGCCCCTCCTCCCTCCGCTCCCACCGCTCGTCTCCTCTAATTCAATTACAACTTCAGATCTGTTAACAGCTACGGCTGTCAACTGCATAATCGTTCCCCACCCTTCCCTATTTTCTAATTCAGGAGAAGATGGTTTCAAGATGATTCCAGACAACTTATAAAAGGGCCAAGCTCTCGAGCACTGGGCTGGTCTTTGTCGGCTTAAATCTGAGGCTGAGATAGTTTGTGAAAAACAAAACAAAACAAAACATGCTGAAAGCCTTGCTTTTGCTAAAATCCAACAAAGATATCAGCTCACTATTTGCATTTTAATCCATTTGTTTATTTAAAAGATTTGCTATTCACGCACGCAGAACCAGAAGAAAGTACAGCACGCAGTCAACCACGCAGAGGCAGTGTTGTGTAAGAAGCAGAGCAACCTTCACAGATAACAGACAAGATAAAGGAGACCAGAAGCCATTGTTCTTTGCAGTGTATGTATCCGATATTGTCACTTAAGAAAGGGAGGGGAGGGCTCACAGCAGTTTGTGATCTCTGACACATTTACACAAAAAAAGAAAAACATTTAATCAAATTCCTCATTAAGGTCTAGGTGCAGGCAGTGCGCGCACAGGTGCAACACTGGACACCTCCTGCCTTTTCCTAAGGTTCATCTGGGTCCCTTTAGATGTTGCCTGCATGCGTGGACAACGTGGAAACATGGCAGCAATCGTGCCGTAAAACTCATTCCTAAACTGGCGTCCTGTAAGGCAGCTGAACAAGGGGTTAACGCAGGTAATGAGGCCGCAAATACACATCTCCAGGACGAAGGCCGTGTCTGCGGGTCGCCAGGAGGCGGGGCTGTCGGGGTAGATCGCCCGTATCACGACGGCAGCGTTGCGGCTCAGGTGATAGGGCAGGTAAAACGAGGAAAATATGACTAGCACTGCGCCCAGCAGCCGCCTGAGCCGCAGCTTCTTGTTAAGGTGATCGGGGTGGAGAGGTCGACGGCGAAGCTCTCTGATGCTGCGCAGGCCGCAGTAGCAGATGGCGAGCAGCGGGAAGAGGAAGCCGATAACGGAGCATATGAGGGAATAAGGGAGGCTCTCCCCTGTTTCACGTAGCAGTACGTACAGGGTGCACACGGTGCGGTTGCTTCCGGGGCAAGTCTGGATCATAGTCATCCGGGCAACAGGTATGCTTAGGAGCAACGTGGCCGTCCACACGGCCGCGCACAGCAGACAGGCCTTCCGCCGATCGAGCAGCACCAGAGAGCGCAGTGGGTGTACGATGGCCAGGTATCGGTCCACACTGATGCAGGTGACGAAGAAGATGCTGAGGTAGAAGTAGTTGTGGTAAAACATCCTCACAGCAATGCAGAGCGGCAGCCCCTGGTTCCAGTACATGTGGTTCAGATGGTAATGGATGAGGAAAGGCAAGGCCAGGAGCCAGGAGGTGTCAGCTAAGGTCAGGTTGAAGAGGAACACCGTGCTGCGGGTCCATCGCTGCAGCCGCAGGGCGAAAACCCACAAGGAGAGCAGGTTGAGGGGAAGCCCGAGAATAAGCACAGTCAGGAAGGATGCGGGCATAATGTAGAGCTCGACCACAGTTAAACCATGATGGGTGTCCAGATCACAAAGGTCTTCCTCTGGAGTCTGGATGACCACAAGTACAGTGTCCAGCTCATTGGCATTTAAATACATCATCATCTAAACCATCAATCAGATTTGTTTACTGGGCTCATATACAGAATCTAGGCTACACTAGAAGTATTCATCCTCATCGAACAACACGATAGTCATATAAGGTGTAATCACAGAGCTCAAAAATATTTCAGTTGATTCACAGTTTCATCTTTAATTGATACACATTTAAAATCACATTGAGTCTTTACAACCTACCTGAACCGAACTGTTCCCCATGTCTTTGTTACAGTAAGATCTGCACAGTGCCAAGTGAAACAACCCTGCCAACATATTTTGGTGTAAAACACACCCACCAGTGCGAGCAAACACTGAATAGTTATCAGTGCTCTCTCTCCGGCCATCTGTTCTGTGAAAAGCAACGTTGATGTCCTCGGCACAAGAGCTGCTGGTCGGCAGCGTCGCTCCAAACGTGTCAAACAAATGCTCAAGTTTAATTAGTACTTTCTTTATTTTTTTGGTACATTACACATTTTGGATATAGGACTGGTTTACAAAAATGACATAAGAAAATAGAAAAAACAAATTTAAACTATAAGGAAACAGTAAACTCCTTCACCTTTTTCTGTAAGCATGGACATTTGAACTATTATAGCAAAACAAATGAAATACAGGAGGGAAGAAAGTGAGCATGAAAGATAAATAAAGGGGAATTACACACAAAAGGGAAAGTACTAGATGCATTAAGGCATTAACAGGCACTGGTTCAACTAGGAAGACATAATAAGGCAAAATGTAACAGTAAGGTGGTCACAGGTAAATACACCTCAAACAGAGTCTACAGCACAACCAGTCAGCTACTTAAATTCAAATACTTCAGTAACAGATATTTCTCATGTCTCTATATAACCACATAATGTGAAATGTCCTTCATATCATCTCTAATCAAAAACTACATCTTATCTTCTTGTTAACATTTAAAAGAACATTGAACTCCTTACCTACAGCACGACTCCTGTTCCATTTAAAGGAACAGTTACTCGCACACACTTCAAAACACTGCTCATGAATCTGTAGTGTCATGACAAGAATTACATTGACATGTTTATATCTCGGTAGTCATGTTTCATTAAGTGCTTTGTGCAAAAAAAAACAACAACCAAAAAACAAAATGTGTGTCTTTCCTTCTCTACAAAGACACTGCTGAGGAAGCCAGAAGCACAAGAAGGCGGTGATGGCTGATGTGCTTTGTGTAATGGAGCAAACATAGTTCAGTAGGTGAGGGCCGGCTTTCATTAGCTCTGTGTTGGTAAACATAGGCACATTAAAAAGGGATCTCTTCACTCCCATCTCCAAGAATGGGGCGGACTGTCAACATTCAACATGCACCAGCTGCTGCTTCTGTGGCTGAAAAACTGGCCACTGCAGGACAAAATCTGTCCTTCGTCACAGCAGTAACAGCAGCACAGAGTTCTGTTCATTTAAAGAAAAAAAACAAAGTAGCTACTTCACATGTCAGGTTTGGGCCTGCAGAAACTGTCGAGGCCAATGTGAGCATATAGCAAAAAATGTGCCTGGGCCTCCTAACTGCCAGTGGCGTGAAGAACAGGAAAGGTTTTGTTAAAGTTGTGCTGCGACCTTGATGCAGAGAAATAAACAATGCTCACAGTAAAAACAAAAACAAACAATAGAGCTGAACATGAATTTCTATTGTGTGGCTCTACAAAGCTGCACATACAGTAAAAAATATTCAAGAATAAGCAAACTCTGCCTTAAAACTACATTAGTTATCATTTGACTGACACACCAATGACAACATATGCTTTACACATTAAGGCATCGAATCTTTGGTTACTCATAGTGGCACTTAACAATAAATAGGCTTGTATTTAGAACATAAGAAAGCTCTCTGGTTGACACACAGTGTATAAGATTTTGCCTTTCCTTAAACCAAATTTGTGATCATCTTCAACACCACAATTAGAACACAGAGAGTGAGAAATCATAAATATGTGACAGATGTTTAAAGTCAAGTGTCTCAAACTTTCAGCATGCATGGAGACTTGGTCTTTCACCTGTGTGATCTTCTACTATTGCTTGATTAGCAGAAGAGGGATGGCTGCGAGTAAAGAACAAGAAGTCTAGCACTTTAGCAAGTGTCATGGCATTTCAGCAAACTGGTGGTCAGTATCAGAAAACACAAGCAGGGAAATCTTTGTCACTGTGTTCGACTGACTGACCAGCAGCTTGCTGGGCTAGAGGCACTCTGATAGCACCTCATGTTTGGATAAAGATGGGTAGATCATGGGTGTGCAGGTGCACTCATTGTTGCTGTTCTGGCTGAGCTGGATCCTCAATTTCTCCACTTCATAGTTGTGGAGGTACTCCTGGACCAGGTAGCGCTCTCTTTTTACTCGAGCCCTCACGTCAGATGGAACATCAGGAATCATCCAGGCCACAAAGAACTTGACCATAAACACAACATGCTGCAGAGGAAGAGGACACAATCAGTGAAATAAGACCAGGTCAAGAAGAAGCTTAAAAATGTGAAGCTTAAAAGGTCATTAAGTGCTGGTGTTACCTCCATGATGATGATGAAAGCCAGCTTGGCAGCCAAAATATGCCAGAACTGCATGTTGTGTTCGTACCTCTTCTTATCGTCGGGAGGATAGCGGTAATCGCGATACCTGCAGAGCAGCAACACATCACGTATTTCGATTTCTTGCAGATTTTTAAACAAACTGTGATTCCCAATTCAAGATTATTTATTGTTATTCACAAAGGAGAATTGTCACACTAACCTCCAGCTTTATATTGTTATACTTTAACTCTCAAAAAAAAAGAGAGAGCTTTTTGTGTAGCACTTTAGTTCATTTACTGATTAAAACACATTGTTTTAGCTTCTTTACCTTAAAAACCAAATTCTCTTTAGGCCAACTTTGATCTGACTGGCTGCCAGAGTGCTGCACTGTAGATGACCATATAAATGATATCTGCCCTCTATGAAATTACACAGAGTCAGGAGTAGAAAAAAACCTTTCCAAGCCTGGTGTTTAGAGCAGCATAACATCTGACTTTTTGCTCACAGGAGTTACTTGTATATAAACTCAACTCAATATTTGGCCATCTTAAATGTCACCTCTCTCTCTCGCTCTCTCCATATATACATACACATACACATACATATATATAATAAAAATCAGAGAAAAAAAAGAAGAAATAAATAATATTATGGTACAAAGAAGCAGATCACATTACGCATTTTCAAGAATTAAAGGCCCTGCATACCAGCAGGTGTCTTGTATTACTGTCTAAATACAGTCAATACTAACATATCACGGGTATATTGGTAATATTTCTGCAATGTGACTCAACTTTAATTTTAGTAAAATAATTGTAATATTTGAATATATAGATTACACAAAAGTCAAAAGACAATATAGCCACAGTCATGTTCTCTCCATCTCGTAATTACACACACCTGCATGTTGTGACACTGCTGTTGAACCAGGATGGATATTCCTCAGGCCTTTCTTCTAGGGAGAACTGAGAGATGTTAAACACTGACAGGCTGTTGTTTATGTAGCCTTTCATATTCAGCTCATCGTGTGTACGGTAGGCATACATGTACACTAGCCGTGGGATCATATCAGATGTGAAGGCCACGATGAATGCCTATAACAAGGAAAGAAATTATGTTAGTCTGTTTAGCTAAATAAACACAATGTGTCTGCCAAAACATTTTGAAGTAAGACCAGCACTCACATTTGTGACTACAGAGAGTACGGCCATCCCACCAAGGATTTCCTCCCAGGCTCCTATGCTGTGGGCCTTGGCTGCTACAGGGCGTCTGAACTGCGTCGTGAGCTTCCAGGCATCCACTCTAACCTCAATGATGTTGTTGATAAGTGCCAGCAGGGGTGCCAAGGGAAAGGAGGCAACGAACAGTGTGATGAAACCAAACTGGATCACTGAGACACAGAGAGGAATGAAAATGGTAAGAGACACAAATGAAACAGCACCATCTGCAGGATGACGTGGATCACTCCAGTCCACCAATCAATCCATACATCCACCCTATTCTTTTACTGAAGGTGAATATATATTTTGTAGAGCTCAGCTTCTTGTTGAGGTCAATACTAACGCATCACTGGTATATTAGTAATATTTCTCAATAATCTGTCATCATTAATGTGTGTAATAGTCTGACTGTGTACTGGATCTTTACCCATTTCAAGGTATTCATAGAAGAGGCCTAGTTGCCCAAAGCCCTGCAGGTCGTAGTCCTGCTCCCAGCGGCTGTACAGACTCTCCGGGTGACTTCGTGCCTTCCTGCTGCCCCACCAGTTCATCAGCCACCTATGCGACACAAGGGGGCGATAGAGTGCTATTAGGAAAAAGTAATCCCTTTAACACAGCCAAATTGGAGGTTGTATTGAACCACAAACAATGGTGGTGAGGAGAGAACTATATTTCTTGAAGTTTCATGAAGTACACATACGATTACAGTGCAAAGAGCTGAGATTGAAAATAAGTTTTAATATCCTGAGCTCACTTTGGACTCTACAATAACATTTAAACATCATGGTAAAAACTTGTCCAGCATTATAAAATTTAACCTACAGAATTTCAAGCAAATCAGACCACTCTTATGCTGACAACACCCAGATTTATCTTCGGCTCAATAGAAACACCTCCACTCCCATGGAATCTTTATTCAAATGCCTTGACGAAGTTAAAACCCGGATGGTCTCAAATTTTCTTACCTTTAGTGAGGACAAAACTGAAGTAATTATTTTTGGACTAAGCTGTAACTTTAATGGCCCAGATTTAGATTTTTTTAACTTATTAAAACACACGTAAAAAACCTGGGGATTTTCTTGGATAACAAACTTACATTTGAGAAACAAAGTAATTCAGTTGTTCAGAGGTCCTTTTTTAAACTAAGGCTCTTATCCAAGGCGAGATCATTTTTATCCTTTAAAAACCTGGAATGAGCAATCCATGTAGTCCTCCACTGCTGTAATTCGCTATACGTTGGTGTCAGTCAGTCCAGTCTGGCATGGCTCCAACTCGTACAAAATGCTGCAGCCCGCCTTTTGACCCATATGAACAGACCCCAACATATTTCCCCGGTGCTTGCCTTTCTTCACTGGCTTCCAGTGAGTTTTAGAATTAAATTTAAAATCTTACTTTTGACTTATAAAGTGCTAAATGTCCAAGCACCAAGACTATTTGTCTGACCTTTTGCAGCTTTATACACCCTCTACAGCCCTTCAATCAAGTGGTTATTTGCTCCTTACCTTACACAAGTCTAGAATGGCTCATAGAGGGAATCAGGCATTTGCGGTTGTGGTGCTGAAAATGTGGAACGATCTAACCCTCCACATTAGAAAGGCCCCAACTGTTACTCTTTTTAAATCCCATCTTAAACATATTTTTCTCGCTGGATTTTCTATACTGTATAAGAGTTAATTTTTTATTCGAATTTTCTTACCTGTTTGATGATGTTAATGTTATTGTTTAATTATTATGTTGTACAGCACTTTGGTCAACCCTCTGTTGTTATTAAATGTGCTTTATAAATAAGTGAAATAAAAAAAATAAAATAAAAAATAATGTAAAAATGTTTTTCTCTTTATTTGAATCATGTAATTAGTAACAATCTTTTTTAGGTTAAAATCACAGCACAGTTCACATATCAAATTCTGCACCAGCTCTTGAGTACTATTTAGTGGATTTATGTTGACATTACTTTGTGTACTTTGTTGAGCCAAATTGCAAACTGGTTAGGTAAGATAAAGATTAAAAAAAAGTTCTTATTTGGAGAGATCACTCTAAGCATCGAGCCTACATTTACAGTGGCCCCACCACCGCAGATTACAAGGCATTTATTGTGGATGCCGATGAACCGCGTACTTGCATGTATTTGTTTGTACTTACGGAACGAGAGCTTCTTGGATGTTGCCCCACACCTGTTTACCAGTCATCACTATCACCAGCTGGGTGGTCAGCTCAATCAGACAGCCACCAGGTTCACACTGAGTGCCCACAGGTCGAGGAAGAAAAGAAATGGAAAAGAGCAAACATTGACAAAAATTCAGGCCGAAGCTCAAAAACCAGTATGATTCTATATAACGTAGATATATCTGGTACCTCTTCATTCCTCAGTTTGCTGCTTCCAAACATATAGGTATAATTTCCAGGATAGCCAACAAACTTTCCCTTAAAGAAGGCCACGTAGAAGCAGGAAGAGTAATAGTTGACAAACTGGAAGAGGAACATCTTCACTGTCAGTTTGTTCTCATACTCCACGTGGGTCTTCGGAATTTCTATAAAACAGTAAACATTTGTTTTTAATACACTTCCACATTTTATCAGTCAAAAACTTTGATGATGTAAACTGACGTGTGGACATATAGACACAGAAAACCTGCTGTGGCCCCTCACCCATGTCAGTGATCTTAATAGCCACTCTCTCATACAAGAGGTTTAGGATCATGATGATAACAAAGTTGATGCAAGAGGCAGTGACAGAAGTGGCCAGCTGTGGGGTGACGTAGGGGGCAACCACGTCCAGGTTGGTGGCGGTATTGTTCTTCATGATGCTAGCAAAGGATGCGTATACCGCCAAGCGGTATGCTATGACCCCAATGATGCAGGCAATGATCAATGAGATCTTCAGGACAGAGAAAACATGAAAGCAAAATGAAAGACAACTACAACATGGTACAGGAAAATCAAAAGACAGAACTGGAGTGAGAACACCAAACGAATCATGCAGACATCTTTGCAAAGAGCGAGAACTCGTTTTTCCACGAAGCAGGACATGTTAGTATTAAATGTCAAACTTGAAGTGTGCACACATGCCTCTTGGAAAAAAGTCAGGCCATATTCTTCTCATTAGCTCAGTGACATGTTACAGGGCTTTACAAACAAAAATACAACAGTAATGAGGTTTGGACCAGTATGTATAAACTTTCAATGGCTCACAGTTCAAACATTCATATAATTTTGCCAGTATTCTTAAAATCAGACCATGCACAAGTGCCAAGCACAAACAAAGGGAAACTGTAACAGCCTGAGCTCCCAACTTGTCTTTAGGGCTCATTTTATACATACTAGCCTTGGTAATAACATATTAATGATTATAATAAACAGTTTCTTAGTAAAAACAAATGACATCAGGTTGATGCACAGATGGAAAGATGGAAACAGATAAATTATACCAAAGATACTATGCTCACCCACAACAGGACGGTAGCTCCAGACAGGCATATGCGTGCACACTTGCTTGTTATGGGTAAGTAAGGCTCCATTTCCTAAATTATAAGCAAGCAAAGCACGGACACAGAGGTCAGTCACCCTTTGTTATATCCTGAAAAGGAGCTCTAAAAGGCCACGTTCCTTGAATTACCTGAACCCTCACTAGTGAAGCAGAGCTAGTAATTGTAATTGTATTAGCCTGAGTCCAATTCTTTCATTGAGTGATTTTCTGCTCTCAAAAACCTCCAACAGAATAATCCACCAGCAGACAATCAGTAAATGTGGTGGAGAAGGAAACCCGTGCCTCTGAGTCTTTCCAGAAATATCTATTATCTACACAAACTACATCACACCAAAGCCTTCTCCTCATCAAGCTGGCATTTCACGTTGAGTACCCCTCCCCCCCCTTACCCAGAGGATCACGCTGGCCCAGCACAGAAACAATTTCCCCATTACATCTGTAGCAGTCCTTTCAAGAACCCACTCTGATTCCTAAAGACGAGCAGGATGTGATCATGGCAAATTATAGAACTCTCGTAAATTCTGTGTCACAACCGCTAATAACTTTACTAAATAACTATGTTCTTAAAGAGTTTTGATTTAAGCCATGAAAGCGCCTCGTAAATGAGCGCAACCAGTTTATAAACAATTAATACAAGGGGGTTTGAAATGTGTCGTCAAATCCTACCATTCAGGATACTTTGCCTGGCAAAACCTTGTGTGGCTTTATATTACAACAGGATTATACAGGATATTAGTGTTTCATGAGCACACAAACACCTGAGTGATGCGGTTCAGCTTGCGGTTGGTGCACTTGGTCTCATACTCTGGCCGAAGCTGCAGCTGTTGTTGCTCCTCCTCAAAGTCAACCAGATCCCACTCGTACTCCAGACGCGCCTGCCGCCTCTTCCAGAACTCCAGAAACAGCGTCACTGCAGAGACGTACCAACGTCACACAAACTTATTTCAAATTAATTGAATCAAATTTCTACTAAGAATATTGCCTGGCTTACAAAGGCAATTTTTTTTAAAGTTTTGCTTACTGCTTTGACAACTCATTAAATGTGGTGTAAAACAGCTCATTTTAGACCTAAAAATTCTGACTAAAAGTTTTTTGACACGTCCTTTAAATTCAGAAAAGGTAGCAGTTAGCAGCTATTTTCATTCATGAAGCCAGGGCAATGAACAACAAACAAGTCCAGACATTGACAAGTGGCATGTAAGAGGAGACAAGTTCTTCCTCCCTAAAAATACCCCACATGGTTTTAGCTGCTTGCCGCCCAGGTGACAGAAGGCAGGACATGATGACATGCATGAACTCACTGTGAAATCTCTGGACAGTTACCTGCTTTATTCTCACGTGAGCACAGCTGCACATCACCCAGCTTTGTGTTCTTACATACAACTACACTAGCTAAAATGTTTAGGGCTGCAGTGCAGGCATGTAAATTATTAAACAATTATTCTGAACGGCTGATAATCCCACTAGGTGGAGCACTGGACTTAAAAATGCTAAAAGCAGAGAAGTGACACATTCACTCACCCCAAATCCCCATGAATATGGCAAAAAACACAGTTGCCACATTGTCAAATAGGTGTGATTGCTGAAAGAGAACATGTTAAAGAAAAAGTGAGGTAACTGAGAACTGATTTGATCACATTAAGCTGCATTCGCTCTTTAAATGTCACATATTGTGGGTAGAGATGAATCATGATAACTACAACAATTACTCACCCACGAGGAGTTGCATGTTATGTTGAGTCTCCAATAGGTACACTTTTGGTCGCAAAGTGGACACATGACAATATTGCCTCCGATTTCCTCACTACATATTTCTTTACTGTAGAGGAAACACAGGTTATTTTAAATGAAAGAGATGATTATATTATTAACATAAAAAAACAACTAATGATGCAATTGAATCTGTCTGATGATAAAAACTCACCTCCATTCATTGTCGTCGTATGTCAGGAATCCATAAACAAAACAAATTGTCCCAACTACAGCAGCGAAGAACAGCATCTCAGTGTAGAAACCCAGCCACGCAAAATAAATACCTATCTTTTCTCCATAATATTTCCTGTTGAAAGATAAAAAACTGTAATTATTGCATTCATTCTGATGTCAGATTGGATAATGAGTATTCTCTGCTTAGTGTGTATCCAAAGAAAACACTGTTTTTGAAAAAAAAACTCATTGAACAAATGATAAAACAAATAAGGTTAAACTGTAGCTGGAAAAAAATTGAAAATGTACTGAAAGATAAGAAATATTTAAGAAGGGTTTGGGGACCCTTTTAACTTTGTAAACAACCAATCAAACAGAAAGCTGGTCTCAATTATTGCTTATTTTAACCCACATAGTGTTTAATGTTTCTGTGCAGCTTTTGTGGATTTTGAATGAACAAAATTCAAATTGTTGTTTGGCTGTGCATTAAATTATCAATAATAGGCACATTTTTTGCTTGCTTCCTTTTTGTTTGTGTATTCCCTACTTTACTGTGAATTAATTTTTTGAACATATTAAACCAGATATTTTAAGAAAACAAAGACAAGTACTTTGTGTTGAGGGCTTACCTCACAAGATTGAGGGGCTGCTCCTTGAAGAAACAAAAGAATTTGGCCCAGTATTTGTAGAGACTGAATCTTTCACTTTCGCAGTTGGGATCCTTTGACTTTGTCCAGTACCTTGACTGAAGACACACAGAAGACACAGATCACTGTCATTCATTGTATGAATAGATGTTACTATTCAAGAACAATAGGCGTATATTCCACTAAAAAACGATTAAGAAATGTCTAAACTGGAGTAGAAAAAACTCACATCATGCAGAGGAAAGGCAGCAGTGTAGGTCCCATTGTTGAGCAACCTCTTGATTCCCTTCTTGTCTCTATCCCCACATTCATCCTTAAAGTATGGACAGCGTGCCAGGATATAGTAGACCTGTTCATGAAGACAGAAACAAAATAAATTGGTCTTATAAAACATAACCTTCAATGCTGGAAGGTTAGTTACTTAAATAACTCTGTTGGAAAAATGTTATTGTTGCATTTTTAAACCTAATTCAGTTCTGAATGCCAGAGTATTTTTATAACTTCAGGGTGACAAACAAGATAAGTGTGCTTACGATCCTGTTGCGAGTAGAAGGAGGGAAGAACGTCTCTTTGTCTTCGATAAGGAAGAAGTCAGACTTGCTCTTGTTGAATGGAGCTGTGAAATAGTCTGGCTCAGGGTTCATGATGTGCCCCGGCAGACGGAAAGGCGTCGACAGCCAGTTCATGGGGATCTCGCTGTTGTCTGGGATATCGTTGACCTTGAAAGGAACCTTGATTTTCAGCACGTCTGCGTATGTGGCCAGTACTTCCCACGGAGCATGGATCTTGACAAAATAAGTCTTTCCATCCTCTGACTCCTGATAATAATGACAGTAAGTAATATTAGCACCGTGTTTGTGGTGTATAGAAATGCATATTACAGAATAATGAGTGTAAAAAAAAAAAATAAAAGGACATCGCTGAAAAGTGACAGGTTTTATATCTATAGCTCTTAGTTTGTCACTAAATAGCATTAAGGTCTTATGACATATTGTGAGGAGTGATCAAAAAGCAAAACAATCTGGGAATCTGCCCAAAACAAAACAACTTTTGTTGTAGAGATCATCTTTTCGGGCATGTCTAAATGGTTTTCAGTGCAAATGAAAACCATTTAGACATCCCTTTAAAGTCATTCTGCCTCTTTTGTAGCGTGTGAACTTGATTCTCATTTTCAAAAAGTGGATGAGATTGCAGTGAACCAAATGTGGGGAGCAGCCGACATTTTAAGTGAAAAAACTCAGCGTGAACTTGAACTTGTGAACACACACTGGTACACACCACACTTCAGGTGGTTTCCCTGAATGCTGTCCCTGATAGCATGTCCATAATCGCACTCTCTGGACAAACTCAAGGTTCAAAGCCCCCTGAATGATGAGCAAATACCTGATCCTACTTTTCACTTAATATGCTGCTTTCAAGCTTGTTAGCTTTGGACATCTTGATTGAAAACAGCTGGTTATAGACAGAGACCCAGCTCTCACAGTTTATAACCGTCTACAATAAATTTGGGTGTATTTGATGCACAAGTTTATGTCTGTCCTCTGTGCATGTTTATCGTAGCCTGCACAGTGCAGTTGGTCATAATGGGACTTCCAGTGAGCCATGTTTGGACAGGGCAAAGAGATGATCTTGAACAGGAAATGGCCATATTTACATCAGGTGAAGTTATTGATTTTTATGGACGCGTGGACAGAGCTTTTTGATCACACCGTGAACAACACACAATTGGATTGTGTTTATCAGCACATTCGCCGTATAAGCGAAAGATCCCTGGAAGAATCCCTGGAGCAGACACAAATCCCCTTTGGGTTGTGCAAGGTGTACACACTCTGACAACTCATTAATGCGGAGCTACCCACTGTGGTGACCCCTTGTGAATAAGAGCGCAGCCGAAAGTAGGTAGCTTACAGTTTTATCTTCTGTCTCCAGCTCCAGGCCGACTTTCTGTAAGTTGGATTCATACACCCTCCTCCTTTCCTAAAGCAGTAGAAGAAGAAAACAGCAATACACATGGGCAAAATATTACCACAAAGCCAGTGTAAGGAATATTTGTATACTATTAGAAGTAATGATAAAATATGACCTCATCTACATAACAAGTGAAATAACAAAAGCCGAATAATTTAAGTATGTTGAGCCAAAAGCAAAATATAAGCAGAAAATAATACATTATAAAATAATAATGAGAGAAGGGGGCTCATATGTGCAACATTAAGAGGAAAATCATGGAAACATGGTAAGTAAAAAAGACACAAGTGCTACAAAACAGCTACAAAAGTGTTATATATGGTGGACAAGGAAGTATCAGTTACCAGAAAGAACAGGTAGTGAAAATAAGCTAACAGTAACATGACAAAAACTTTCACAGTATATGACACTTAGGTTTAATGTATCAGAAATCCTCTTGTAGAAAATAACTATCTGAATCACTGCAGAAAAAGCTGACAAAAATTTAATAAATAAATCCACCTTGTTAGAGCTGAATTTTAGAGTCACGTTTAACAATGCATGTGGATAACACACAGGAACTGGCCTCCGGTTTACCCTTCCTCATACAGTGGAAAAAATTAGTGGTTTCCTGACCAGGCAGGAGGGTTAACTGTTGACTCACCGACTGAGGCAAAACTGGGAGTCAGCTGTGGAGTGTTAACACTCACACGTAAAGCTAGCAGCTCAGTGTGAAACAATGAAAGCCTTTCAGCACTCAACAGGTGACAAAGCAGAGTTATTATATCTTTGAATTTTTAATTTCTTTTTATTTGTACATCATTATAAATGTCTATTTTTAATTCAGTTTAGTTTCTGTTAGCCTGCACAGTGGGCCTGCTCTTTTCAATTTAGTTTTTAGTATAGGAAATGTTTTAATATTTATGAATTTCAGTGTTAGCTTTGGTTTTACATTAAAAACATGATTGTATTTGATAGATGCAAGATATATGAAAAAGTGTTAAAAAATAAATGTGACATCCCAGTCTCAATAACCCTATGAAGCAACACTGCCTCAGACTAGTTATGCTGACAAATTTCAACCACACGGACTAAAAAAATAAATGTAAAGATATTTCCTGCATATTTCTTTTTTGTTAAGATGTTTTGCAGGTAAATATTTATTTTGATTTCAGTTTTAGTTAACTATAATAATCCTGGAGACAAAACCAATTAAATTAAATTAAATAAAGTTTTATTTACACCAAAATACAACAAAAGTTGCATCAAAGCACTTTATATTGTAAGAAGTAGGAAGGAAGTAGGAAGGAAGAACTCCCTTTTAACAGGAAGAAACCTCCAGCAGAACCTGGGTCAGAGAGGGGCAGCCATTTACCTGGACTGGCTATCGGTGAGGGAAGAGAGACAGGCCACAGACAAAAAACACAAAATAAATAAATAAAACACGCCATTAACCATATGGACTTTCTTTAAAAACAACTTATTTTTATTAAAAAAAAAGACTTTAGAATGGATTTACTTGTCAAAGTCACCTTATTAGAAAATACCTTGACAGGATTATTAACAGCTGACAGCAAAAGTCTTCCTAGCTTTGTCTGTTTTGTGGTATTTATGGTATGCTGTGGAGTCACAGGAACCCACAGGATGTCCTGTATGAGCCACCTCGGACTGTTAAAATCTAACAGTGGAAATAACGTCAACATTTAAACTGCGCTAAGATATATTGAGTGCAACTGTATGGGACTCTTTTCAGTTGTGCATACAACTGTAACAGCATTGTATACGCAAAACATGAAAAAAAGAAGTTAGTCCAGTTAGTAATAACTGAAAAAAAAAAAGTGATTGAAAATGTCTTACCTGTTTCCTTTGATCATCTTTATCGTCAATATAGGACAGAACAAAATCGATCCTGCGCACTCCATCACGGAAGAACACGGAGTCCTTACTGTATTTTTGCTTGTCAATCTAGAACGAGATAACACAAAGGAGGTGAGATTTTAAACACACATAAATAGACAGGGACTGATATTTTGCAGTCACCACAGCAGACCAGAAAGTCAAGCTTTGCATCTAGTAGCTAATGCAAAAAATGCGAAATACTGATAATTATCACTCAAAACACAAACAACATGCCAAATGGAGGGTAGCTTCTTTGATGTTTATTGTTTGTTGTCTGTTTTTAAGTCATACTGAACAAGACAATAAATCTGTTATATCATAGGGCGAAACTAAAACAGATATCGAAGATCAAAACTAGCCATACTGACTTAAAGGCTCCAACAAGCTGCAATTTAATAATCTGTTTTTCTGTAATCAGCACTGACCTCCAAAGAAATTCCAAGTATGTGTGTCAGCCCCACAGAGGCAGTTGCTTAGGTAGCTACAAAAACTGGAACGCAAAGGAGTGCTTAAGAAGAGGACCCATGACTGGTTGCTGCTTCAGCTGTTCAGAAAGCTAAAAATAACTACGTACAATGTGTTTCCCTCTGCCACATTACAGCAGCAGTAGGACTGCAGGCAATACACAGAACCATTAAGCAAAATGAAAACTGTAATATCCATTTCAGCCACATATTTGGCTAGTGTCTTTGCCCCGTCCCATTACGGCAACACTCTGGAGGAAGGGAGGAAAGGAAGTGCACTTTACCTTCATGGTCCACTCCCTTTACCGTTACGATGCAGCAACAAACAGGCCGGATGCCTGATAGAGCTAAACTGTTTTACTCCTGGGAGTAGAGTCCAGGCCAGCAAGCACTGCCTTTCTCACCCTCACTCCACTGATCCCCATCCAAACAGGAGCCAAACAGTCCACTCACCTCCCAGGACAATCCCTCACTTCTTGCTCAGTCATCCATAAAAGCAAGAGGAGGGATACTGGGAGAGAAACACAGCACAGTCCTAGAGATGACATCAGCAGAGGGGTAGCATAGCTTCCGCCAGCTAGCTAATCTAATCAGAGCACAGCATCAGGAAAGGGGGGAGGTTATGTGACTGAACTGTATACATGTCCCTCAAATTACATCATCTCAAATTTTCTTGGTGCAAAAGTCAAACAGTTACATGAAGAAATCTTTTCTACAAAGGGTGATAAGGGGGAGATAAAGAAAACCAAAACTGGTAGCTACTGTGTAGCCTTGGGTCAACAGCCTCAGACAACTTGCACAATTCAGCTACAAAAATATACTTTAAATGCTTCAGCTCCACAGCTGTCTCTACCACCCTGTCTGGCCACTGAACTACATGGTCAACGTGTACAGCTTGTCGTTTCCAACACCGTCACAGTCTCTTATCCCAAATTATGCATACGTTCAAACTGCTGGTCTACACTGCCTCCCAGGCTGGACTGGAACTGCTGACCAATGCAGGGTGGTACTTTCTGTAACTGGGATGTTGCTACAGAAACTCTCTAATTTACAGTAATTACAGATCAGCCATATGGAATCGGCGCATCAGCTGGGACGTGGCCCTGCTCAGAGCCACAGACTTCTATACATTTATGAACTAACCCCTAACTACTGGGCGTTTCGACGTGTCCCTTTTATCTTAATGGTGAAGGGTAAATGTAGAATATGGTGTAACACAAGAAGTCTTCCAATTTCAGGGGGTAGAAAACAAGTGGAAATTTTCAACTTACTTTCAAGGTACTATTTTTTTTGTGGAGGAATAATTTTAACCATGAATTCTTGTTTTCAGGTCACTTAATTAGTTTGGAATACACAGGAGTTGCTGAACATACTTTAGTTGATATTGAAACGTAATTGTGTTATTTTTACTTTTTATTTCTTTATTAAGTTATTTGAAACATTAAGAGGAAGTAGGAGACCAGCAGAGAATGTTACTCCTATGCTGTCCAAACCAAAGTATATTTTAGGTTATGATGTATATCAACTTCAATGATGACTCATCTGACAAAGAACACGCCCCCGTCTATCCTCAGTCTGTGTTTTTAATCCACCTTCTCTAATGCACTTTGATTTTAGTACCACTCAGTCTAACATCCAGGCGGTGTATTAGCTATATTGTTTAAAGTACTTTAGGTGACCCTTTTTTCACAGGAGAATGTAGATGGTGACTGCTGTATCACTGCAATGGCTTCTCTGCTTGCAATAAAGCATCGCAATCTGCATGTTTGTTCTGAAACATGCACTTTTGTGCAGAGCTAGATGTCCAGCTGGATCTCCAGATTTGCAGAAAATTACATCTGGTTTAGCGGCATAATACAAGTATGCACATAAACCAATCCTCTTGAAGAGTTACATGTAGTTTAAACCGTGCTGTCTGCAGTGAAACAAGATTTCTATCCCTGTAATGACTACAGAGCCAGTTTATACATGTGCTGCCTTTAAAACTCCTTGATGTGACCTTATGCTCAGCTAAATTGTAGTCCTAGAATCTAATGTTCTTTTTTACCCTGCAGATTGGCTGCTCTGAATAAAAGGTCACACTTTTCATTAACATGGGTTGCACAGTGTTTAAACAAGGCCATATTGAAGAGGATTCAAGGGCAGACGCCTACAGTACAGTATATGGTTAGCCACACCACAGTGCAGTCCTGTCATGAGCAAAGGGTAGGGCCATGATTACAGCATATACAGTTCTGTACCACACACACACACACGCACACACACACGCACACACACATGCACACACACACAAAAGAGTTAGGCAGGTGGAAATCTGCATGTGCAGCTTCTATTATGCTGTGGCACATGGTTGGGTTGTTGCTCTCTTAGTGAGGCCAACAATAATCACAGGTGAGAACAAAGCAAGAGAAAAGGCCTTTTTCACCTTTAATGAACTCTCACGATACATCAACACGCACAACAGCATGTTTCCATTTCTCGCAGCAGGCAAAACAAAACATGCCTTCAAAAAGCCAACATCAGCTCTCTACCAAGAAATGCTTATTGATTTCCCCGACGTCCAGGTTTAATAGCCTGAATGTCCAATACTGCTAGAGAAACTCGACCATGAGCATACACTCTGAGCAGCAGGTAGGAGATCATGGGTGGCTGGTAGTCACACATATAACGTACATTTCTGCATCATAACACAAGCCTGTTTTACCATGCCATACCCTGGAACGAAACTTCAGGAATAGGGCCCGTTTTCTCGAAAACTGTGGAGGAACCGAGTGCACAGTGAGAGAAAGCCTGACAAAACGATTCAAAACAAAATTCAACAGCATACCGCTAAAACAGAAGCGGCACCCTTTTAGAGGGGAACAGGCACTTCACGCTTACATTACATCTACATACATTTACAGATTATGTCCAAAAACACTTCATACAAGAAGATTCAGGCACAATCACAGTCAGTTAGATGTTTGAGACTCAGAGATATGAGACACGACAGAGACATGAAGACACAGACACAAGCAACAGCGATCTGTGCCCCTGACTGGTGTCTTACCCCAGTTAAAGCATTGATTTGCTCTATGGTCTGAGGCTCAAACTGTGGACTGTCGCTGTGGTCAGAGGGAGCCAGCGAGGCCAGGCTGTTGTTGAGAGACTCACAGCTCTCTACACGCACATCGGGCGTTAAAGCAAACTTTAATTAGAGTATGAAAGGGGAGAATACATGAGTATTAGAGTTATACCTAACTCTCTTCTGCCATTTGTATGTTGTGAAACAACAGCATGAATGGACTGAAAAGATGGAAGTAAACTCAGTACAGTTATCTGGAGTATTATACATGCAAAATAAACTGCTTTGGTGGGTAGGTAAAAAAAAAAAAGGAGTGGATAAAGAGCAGGAAGGAAATCTTGATTAATCTTTGTAATTATAAACAATATGCTTCCTGCAACCACGATTACAGGCAGGGAGCTGAATGTGAAGCTTGGACCTTCTGCTCCATAAATCTGCCTGCAAAAGGCTTTTTTTCCATAACTTTAAATAGCAGGTACTGCAAAACAACTAAAGCACCTACAATCATAAAAAATGCAAAAAAATAAGGTATCAATAATAACAATAAAAAATCCTACTTAGAATTGTTGTGAAAAGACTGTCAGTGATGGAGTTCTTGCTTTGTAGAATTGTCTGTGTGACTGAGGGCATGCTGTGAGTTTGGTTTTTACCTCCGACTGCTCCTGCTCCGGTGAACCTGTGCTGGATGATGCATGATGGTGATAGCCATTTACATCATCTGCAAGACAAAAAGACAAAAGACAAAATTAAAAACACAGTTAGCAGTTAAGAGATGGCTCTCTTACCAGTGTAAAAGAATAATAAGAATCAACAAAACAAAGTTATCTCAGACAGCCAGGATAATGCAAAAACAACTGCCTGAATAATGACATGTTGTGGTCTATATGTGTACAGCATTTTGTGGTCTTGTGGGGCAAACAGGGTGACTTAACAGTGAACGACGCTACTGAGATGAATATGCACCCATTTCAGAAGTGACTGCAGGAAACATGCCTGAAAAGTCTGGAAAGCCCCCCTACAAGTCTTTTTTTTTTTTTTTAATGAACGTTGGCTACACAATAAAACTGAAACTGAGTTGTACTTTACCTACTGCTCACTGCTTGGCATGTAATTACAACTTTCCAGATCATTCTGAGAAAAGAGTTACATAAACAAATGGAAAGACAGATGAAAAAGCAAGACAAACATGGAGCCCTGGTTGCACCGCTACAGCTAAAAAAATATAAAGCGAAAGGTCTCGGGCTCTGTGTCTGTGTTTTAAAATAGAAAATGTTCTAATTGATAGTTTCTCTCTCTCTCCGGTTATATTTAGTCTGGGTTCAGCACAGGAAGAGTGTCTACACAGACCTTTGTCTACATTATTAAACGCCAAGTTAACAAAGTAAAACTTGGTAGCGCAAAACTGAAATTACAAACATTTATTATAAAAGACACACTTCAAAAGTGAAATACAAACTCATTTCTCAGCTTCTGAACAACAGCTTTAAAGCCTTTCAGCTTCTCACAAAGAGAGAAGATAGCAAGTGACTTTCATTTGGATAGATTTCTTTTGCAACATATGACAACGCCTCTCAAACAGCTGAGGATATTCTTTGCACAGTTGGGCGCAAGAATGTGTGCAATATTAGCCAGTTCATTCATGCCAAGAGTCGTTTCCCACTAAATATCCTCTACAGTTGAGGCTTTGTTCAAGTGTGAGCAGCTGATCAGTGGAAATGCCACAAGGCTGCTTCCCTCCCTCTTTCTCGCTCTGTTAGCCGCACAACCATAAAGGCTCATGGGATCAAAAACTGTATACGTTGATTATTTACACAAAAGCTACTTTGCAACACAGCGCATGCTGACAATAAATGGCAAATGAACTGCAACATCGGCGACAAATATGGTCAGGCAACAACTGCAGCCAAATCAATTTTACACCAAGCCCAAGTGTCACAACAAAAATTCAAAATTGTAAACAACTTTCATTTGACTGATCTAGCTTCTTAGAACTGGTATAGCTGAACTCAGGTGTAGGCCATATTCTAAAGCTGTTTTTCTAGACTAAATGAACAGTTTTAGCCTCAACTCAAACTGCTATATTTTGCTCATAGTGAAAGTAGATGAGTTTGTTTGGTTTCCTCACACGCACAGGAAACCAGTAGTCACCTGCCATGTTGCAGAGGGGTTGGTTTCAGATGCACACATACACCTACTTTACAAAACGTAGCTCACATCTTAAGACAATGCTGCTACAAAGCAGTAACGCATGTTCATGTGAAACCCACAATCATGAACAGCTCTGTGATTTTTACATACAAACTGTAAAAGACATAATCTGTACTTCTATATTGTAATAACCAAGTCATCTGTGATTACTGTGAGATATGTTTTGCTTCTGTTACAACGTTATCTCAACAAACCATAAGCACACAACACCAAACTGACAGAGGATGGCCCTGTGGTTATCACTTTCATTTCAGACTGTTTGAATGACACAGTTCATTTTAATATTGTTGATAAGGTTTTCTGCATTCAGGATGATTCACCTTTTAATCATCAACACACTTTTTTTTTTTAAATATATCCCTAAATGGCAAAAAATTTAAGTAAATAAAATCCGTGTCCAGCCACTGGTTTAAAATTTACATTGGCGGGGAACAGAGAGGGATTTGGGGGTTGTTGCTGGTGGATAACGTGGTTGTCTGCAAGTGACACAGTATTTCCAGTGAGCAAGCCAGCTGCCAGAGCCCAGCAGCACATAAGTCACTGTGACTTCCATGAAGAGAAAGGCAGACTGTGAGCTGGCTGGAGCCTTAAAGGGGAAATAACCAGGATGGAAACGCTTTACAACAGTGAAGCAACGGCTACATAATTAAGTTTTAATATACCCTCTGTATAACTGACGGTGAGAGAGCTAACCAAAGAAGAATTGTATTTGTCAGCTGACTTAACGGTTACTTAAAAAATGCTGGAAAAAAACATTCTGGAAAGTTTCATTTATATTGTTAAAATATTAAAGGTCTCATATTATAGTTGTAGTTCAATTTAAGCAAGCTTGTGAAAGTCTGGCGTACAGACTTGAGAATACTTAGCTCACTCCAGTAACTTCCCGGCAGGCTGAAAATCTCTCAGCTACATTTTAAACGTTGTTTTTTTTTTTTTACATGGCCGACCAGCGCTGGCTCTCAGCTACTTACCGCTGAAAGAGTCTGTGGGGCTCATCTCAATTAAGCTGTCTTCTCCCGTTTTCCCCGTTAATCTGTGCATCTTGAGACCCTCGCGAAGCCAAGCCGTTCTAATCCGCTCTGGTCTGGACTAATATATTCTGAGCCAGGCGTGTTCTGTCTCGCCCGAACCGCTCCGCTTCACAGTCGATCCCCCTTCGGGAAGCCAAACGGCTGACTCACTCGCCAGGATGCCCTCCTTCACCCACTGACCGCTCACTGGCGCATCACCACAGCCTCAAGGGAGGCCCATGAGGGAAGTGCCTCCACGCCACTAGCCAATAGTCTTCGCCCGACGGTGAACAGACACTGCACCCAAGTGTCCACGTGCTATGTACACTGAACTAATTCAAGGAGATAGTCCAGGTGACAATATTACGCTTACCGTAGATAAAACACAAAAACAAAGAAACAAACTAATGGTAATTTAACACATTTACATTCAGTTTTTGTGTTAATAGCCTGAATCTTACCATTGTTCTTGGTAGATAGTGTTAGACTGTATTGTATGTATTTGTTAAACGTATCTCTCTTTCATTACTTTCTTGTATTTAACCTGAACTTTATGCAATATAACCTTGACTGGTTTCTTTGTATTTTTCTTATAAAATTATTTGCACTTGTTTGTTTGTTCATGCTATTTCCCCACAAACATGGGACCCATGTCAAAATTGCTAAAAGTTGTTGGTAAATTTAATTTTTCCAGGACTGAGCAGAAAAAGCGTATAACTCTGTGGAAACACCTATTTTGACTGTATGGAAAATAGTTACATAATATTATTAACCTGGTTGTTTTATTAGATATATTATGTAATTCAGTTCAGTTTTATTTATACAGTGCCAAATCACAGGA